GTGCTTACATGGGGCCAATCACCATCTACAAGCTGAGGGGAGCAGAGAAAGATGGTACCCACACATAGCTTTCCCTTTGGCTCATCCTGCAGCCTAAAAGTTCTACTCTGTCTTATCCATCTGACACAAATACATCCAGAGAGTGTGTGTCATGTAAACTTGAGATGAAAAAAAGCAGTAACAGGGCCTATTGGGTGGCTCACATCTGTAATCCCAGGTATGCAGAAGGTGGAGTTCAGGAAGATGGAAATTCAAAGCCAGCCTGCGCAAAAAATTAGCCCCCATCTCAACAAACAAGCCAGGTGTGGTGTACATGTCTATAATCTCAGCTACGTGGGAAGCATAGGTAGGAGGATAGTGGTCCAAAGCTAGAAGGGGTGGGGAGTACATGACCCTATTTAAACAATAACCTAATGCAAAAAGGTCTAGGAGGTGTGGCTCAAGTGATAGAGTGCCTGCCCTGCAATACCATGCCCTGAGTTCAAACCCTGCTACTACCAAAAAAGAAAAAGAACAGTAACAAAGATTTTCCAGTGTGGGGTTTTTCTTGTAAAATGTTGAAAACCTACATATCCAGGAAGCAAGGGAGCAAGGGTAGTAGAACTGGGGCTTCCATGTCTCAAAGAAATGGTGTCTCCAAGTTGGCTAGCTCCTTCCATCCAGGATTTCCATCCAGTTGGGCACAAGGGCCCTTGCCTCTTCTTCACAGTGGATGCTCGAGGCCTGTGATTCCTTCTTTCTGACCTCCCTCCTTCCTGCAGTGCTGGTGTTGGCCAGACACTAAAGGCCCTATATGGTGTTCCCAGCCATGGCTGCTGTGCCCGGAATAACTAGCAAATAGCGTCCGTTTTGAAAAATTTGGTCGATTCTGAGTTGGCCTGGGGTAACATCAGAAGGAGCACTCTACCATATGATGACTACCACAAGTCGCACATGTTCTAGCTTCTACTAAAGGTCCAGACAGTGGAAACTGGCCTGAGAAATGACCCAGATAAGAAAAGCTAAATGCAGATCCTTTGCCTCTTACAAACTGGTAGACACTGGGTGCATCACTCCATCTCTGTTGGCCTCTAAAAGAATGGGTTACAGAGGTCCCCAGCCATGGGCCACGGCTGGTTACATCATAATCACTTGTGGCCATTGTCCACCATAGTTCCGTGTCAGTCTCCTGGGAGAGAATGTCTGGATCATGCTTTCTTAGCAAACCACCTAGGTGATTCTGAGGGGGGCCTGGGTCAGGAACCACAGCCATCCATAACCTCTTCTGAAGTTGAGGCCACTGGCCTTGCTGCTGTGTGGCCAGGTTTGGGTGGGGCTGGACCTGGAGAGGGTGGAGACTATCAGACCTCTCCAAGACATGTGGTTAGGACACCCTGAGGAGCCCAAGGAGGGAAGAGATCACTGCCTCTCACATTTGTGGACTCTCTGGGATCTTTGATTCCTATCACAAGAAGCCAGCAGGCAGGCACGAGGGCTCTAGGGGTCTAAACCCAGAGTGGCCCAAGACCTGCTTCCAGGCTTCTGTGAGGTGGAGAGAGGCAGAGAGACCTGGGAGAGGTGGCTACCAACACGGAAGTTCTTCTTTGGGTGAGCAAGGCTCTCCCTTTCCCTGCCCCAGGTGGCAGTGCTGCATTTGGTTACCTTGGAGACCAGCTAACACTGTCCCGCAGGGCCAGCTTGGATCAGCTAGAAGTGGGAGCAGGGAGAGGCAAGGCCCTGGGTGCCCAAAGATGGAGAGATAAATGAAGTGCAGGTGAAGGTGAGTGTCACAGGGGTTGGCAAGGGTGGGCAGAGAGGGAGTGGGGGAGGCCTAGACACTGAGCTCTGGACTGAGGAAGGTTTAAGGAACCTGGGGTCTTCACATGCCAAGCATTGTTCTGGGTGATGCGGTCCAATGGTTGGAGAGGCACCAGGACAACTGGATGTGGGATGGCCAGGAGGACAGTTTCCGCTATAGGGATTTAGGGCAGCAAATGGGCTTCAGAAAAAAATGGACACAAGTGGCAAAGGTCTTTTCTGGAAGTAAGGTCAGCTTGAGCCCCAGGCGGTAGGAGTAATGAGGTGTGTGTAAGTGGAGGTTGCCAGGGACCAGAGAAGGATGGGAGGCGAGATGGAGAAGTGAGAAGGAATTGAGCCTTGGGAAAAAAGGTCCAACTTGGTTATCCTGGGGCACCAGAGAGCAGTGCCAACCTCTGAGCAATGTGGGGTGCATAAGACTAGAAGTAATTCTGCAGTTAAAAATACGTTAAACCCCCAGTGGCTTCATCCTCATTGAATCCTTAAGAGCATCCTAGATCCAGCTGCTAACAAACCAGGAAGTAGCTGATGGTTTTCTTTTATCCAATAATCTGGGCTCTCTCTCTCCCTTGGACCAGAATGCCCCCTGCAAGGACCATTTCGTGTGTTCTCTTCTCCTTCTCCACTCTACCCCAGGCCATGTGAGCAACATTTGCTAGACTCTAGACCTATCCTGAGCACATTTATTCAACATTTTCTGAACAGCTATGTTTCAGGCACTGTTTTATGCAAAAGGGTTTTAATAGTGGACAGCACTGAGTCCCTGCCCTCGGGGGTCTTACTTCTAGTGGATTTCGGTTGGAGAAAGGGAACAGCCTGGCAGTACCTAAGTGGTCAGATGGTGAGGCATGCTGTGGCGGGCAGTGCAGCAGGGGCAGAGGGGGACACTCTGAGTTGGCTGCTCACAGACAACCTCCCTATTCAGGTGTCACTTCAGCAATGGCCTGAGGGCAAGGGCTGTGTCTCCCCAGGACCAGCCCTATCTGACCCCCAAAACGCACTCCACCAACGTGGGTGAGATGAATGGCTGCACATGTCTTGAAAATGCAGCATGTTTTAATGGTATCCTACCAGTACAGTACTGTGCACTTTGCAAAGCACTTTTACAACCCCAATTTCATTTGATCCTCTCAACAACATAGCTGAAGCAGGTGGAGCAGTTACATTAGCCCCATTCCATTCTGCAGATGAAAAACCAAAGGTCTGAGCTCTTTATAGCACACCACATCATTTTGTTAGTTTTAGGTAGTCCCATCTCTCCTCCATCAGCCCACACAAGTGACCCCAGAATTCATTGAACACTGTTGATGTGTTGATTTCACAAGAGAACACACAAAATTAATGTTTAAATTGCATCTTTATTCAGAGTTTCCCACATGCAGGATTTTTTTGGTTGTTAATAACAGAAACCTAGGAGAGCAAAAAGGTAGGGAATTATAAAGAGCAGAGATCTTGTGGGATCCAAGAGCAGAAAATGAGTCAGTTCTTATGAGTGCCTGGGATAAATAATTAGAAATTCAAAAACCAAAGCAATTTCTCAACTTCCCTTTTTCCTTCACCTCACCTCAGAATACTTACTGCCTGCCAGGCCCTGCTGTCATGCAACTTCCAGTGTAATGTCTTTAAAAACCACAATAATGAATATAAAATTCCACGTTACAATAAGTGCCCTAAGAGAAAGGAGCACAGGTCTATGAAAGTCTAGATGGAGCAAAGGAGGCTGTTTGGAATGGAATGCTAGAAAAGGCTTCCTGGAGGAAGCAACATTTGAGCAGAAACATCAAGGAAGAGTAGTGTGCAAGGACGGGAGAAGGAACTGGCCGGACCGAAAGAGATCATCCTGTTGAGCAAGACATGCCAACCTCAGAAAGACGAATATTGAAATATTGCATTTTTTCACTCATAGGCAGAATCTAGACCTAAGACAAAAAAATAATAACATGGCATAATTGTAAAAGGGAACTACTGGGGAGGGGTCTGTGGGTTGAAAAGGGGAAAGAAGAGGGTGATTAGGGGGAAAATATGATACATTATATATATGTATGAAAATAACAATGAAACTCACTAAAACAGTTACAAAAGGAGGAGGGTTACGAAAGTAATATAGATGGGTGAATTTGATTAAAGTATAGTATATGTACGCATGTAAACATTACAGTGAAATCCCTTTGTACAATTAATTTATGCTAATAAATTTTTTTTAAAAGAACGTTCCAGATATAAAAATAGCAGCACATGAAAAGGTCCTGTGGTTAAAGGAACTGTATAGCAACACAGGACCCTTGTGGGCCTTAGAAGGGGAGGGCAGTGGTGAGGTGATAGACCTAGCGAGGTAGGTAGGCAGCAACCAAGCCATGTGGGGCCTTGATTCATTTTAGGGATCTTAGAATTTATCCTAGAAATAAAGGGAAAATTTTGAACAGTTTTGAGCAGTAAGAGGAAGTTGGGAGTGTAGCATCAGATTCTGGTTTTTAGAAGATCACTACGGGTGGTAAGAAAACAGATTCAGTGGAAGGACTGAGGGGATGTAGGAAGACCAATTAGGGTCTCCTGCAGTTGCCGTGACAGAGATGATGTTGCCTGGACTAGGGGAATGTCAGAGAAGACCAAGATAAATGGAGAGATTTGAGAGAGGTAAAATTAACAAGAAGATGATGGACTGCATATCAGGAGTGAGTGCTGAGAACAATTCCTAGGTTTTGATGCTTATAAGTATGTAGATGGTGGTTCTTTCCTCTAAGGTAGAAAATAAGGAAAAGAGTTTGTAGGACACATCATGAGTTCAGTTTCAGACACATTGAGTTTGAGATGCTCCAGGTGGAAATATCCAATGCCACCAAATAGCCAGGTATGGAGTTGAAATGAGAGGTCTGAATTCTTGGTGTACAAGTGGAAGCCATTGAGGGAAGCCATTGGTAGTTAAAGCCTTGGACCTGGTAAGGTTGCCCTGGAAGAGAAGAGGTATGAGAAGACGATGTGCACTAGTCAGCCTCAGGAACACCATCTTCAATGCTTAGGTAGACGAGGATGAGGCTGCAAAGAAGCCTAGGAAGGAGCAGGCAAGTGCGGGAAGGAGCAGGGAGAGTGGCCCCATGGGAATCAAGTCAGGGAATGGCACTGACTCCATTTTCCCTGGTCTTTCCCAGCTTCCAAATGCACATGGCAGCCCCACATCTCTTAATTCCAAATTCCGAGAGAGACGATCTAACTGCTCCATCTTGGACACACACCTGTTAACCAGGGGTCGGTAAGCTATGACTTATGGGCTATGGGGACTTGCTCCTTTGAGTGTAGGTGCAGTTCTCACAGAAAATAACTCAACCTCTCCTCGATATAGTTCCACCACGCCCCTTCTTGAAATCTCCAGTCTGGCCAAATAGCCTTTAGTTTGGTCCTTGGATGAGCCAAACTTGTTCTTATCCAGGGTCTTAGTGTTCCTTCCGCCTGCTCCAATCTTCGCCATACTCTTAGCATGACCTCTCGCCATCCTTCAAGGACGTCTGGGCTCAAAAGCCACCATCTATCCCCTACCCTTTGCCTGCCCAAAATAGACCTTTTTCCTGATGACTATTTTTTTCTTTCTCTTGTGGGGGAGCAGTACTGGGGTTTGAACTCAGTCTCACACGTGCTAGGCAGGTGCTCTACCACTTGAGTCATACCTCTACCCCATTTTGCTTCAGTTTTTTTTCAGACAGGGTCTCACACTTTTGCCCAGCCAGCCTTAGACCTCAATCCTCCTACCTCTACCTCCCTCATAACTGGGATTACATTCATGTCCCACCATGCCCAGCCCTCCTGATGACTTTCAACTACAGCACTTCTCCCTTTTTTGTAGCACTCAATACAATTTGTAATTACTTTAATTTTTTAATATCCATCCCCCACTCTAGGATGTAAATTCCGCTAGGGCAAGGACAATGCCTACCTCAGTGGTTCTCAACTAGGAACAGCCTGGTAATATCTGGATACACTGTGGGTTTTGGGTTGTCACAATGAAGTGGGGAGGAGGTGCTACTGGTATCTAATGGGTAGGTGTCTTACAATGTGCAGGACATCCCACAGCAGAGTAATGTGCCCTGAAATGTCAGAATTACCAAGGTTGAAAGACCCTGTTACCTTATTCATCATTGTGTCCTCAGCACAAGCACAAAGCCTTATACCTTATTTCTTACGTAGATACGTAAGAAATATTTATTATATTGATTAATGAAAGACCAGTTAAATTGAACAATCCCTCAAAACTATTGTCTATGCGTTGCACATGTCTTCTTGTGTTGTTCTTCTTAGGAAAACTAAGAGTTGGGTGTTTTTATAATGGCTACAGAAACTAGTCCTGTCTTCCATGGTCCTGATGATACATTTCTGGAGAATCACTGGTAAGTATGATTCTCCAATTTTGCAAATGCAAATAGTGGTAACAATATTTTTCTCATGGGGCTACGAGGGCCAGCTCCTTGCCACATCTTACATCTACGTGGGGGCATTCTGTAATGACCAAAACAGTAGAATAAAATGTCTCATGGACCTGGAGTCCACATTTCATCAGGACTCTACAGGAACCCTCTCAGTTCCCATGCAGAAATAAAAATGTTCCTGAAATCCATTGAGGAAACACGGGAGAGAAAGGAGGCATTGGAAGTGTAGAGGTGACATAAAGAGCTGGGACACTGATCAAATCACTTTGTTTTGTAGTATGAAGAGAAGCACTGACAGAGATCCAAAGAAGCAACTGAATGAGAAGGATACAAATGTCCTTGACCCAAATCCAGACAATGGCTTACTGGTTACCACTGTTAACCAGACACAGGACTTACTGGTAAAAACCACAATGCTGTCACTGACTAGCCATGTTCATAAATCACAGCCAGGGACAGCAGAAGGTGCTAAACTCTGGGTAATTCTTTCTTCACATAGGATCCCGGGACTAAGACAGGCTAATTAAGCATGCATAGCTACCCCTGCCTTTGGAAATGAAGGAAGAATCTCTGTGCTGTTTTATATAATTTTATAGCCAACTCATTCACATGGTTAAATATTTAGGAGCATGGGAAGATTTTGATCACATGATCAAAGCCTGAAGTCTAAAGCATTTAATTCTTAAGCTCCCCTCCCTGAGATTTTACATTCTTTTCACATTCCCTAAAATCTAGATCCAGAAGTCCATTTCAAGAAGTGCTGTTGGAGCATGAGGATATGGCAGGAGGATAAGTTCTAGAATGTTCATGCTGGAGTTTTAGGCTCATCGTGTAAGTGAGCATATTCCCAAGAGGGAGTGTTGTCTGGAGCTCAGAATCTGTTTACATGGAAAGAGGTGCCATAGGCTAACCCCAGCCAGCCACTAATCTATGTGAGGATTTAAACACAATACCTTCAAAATGATAATCAGCCAAAGCTTTACAGTTATTATGCTGACAATTAATCATAAAAGTAGCCACAGTTTACTTTTCTCGAGTTATGGCTCTTATGGGTAAGCAAGTGTAATAAAAGGAAATGAGAAAAGGTTGTCTTCAGACACTGAAGAAATCTTTCAATTACTTCAGATGCTGGTGACGTAGGTCTTCATTTCATCTAATTTCATATCAAAATGAGTGGCTCCCCACTTGTACAAAGACCACTCACTCTTACATTTACCAGCCACAAATAGCGACTCCTTTTTCTCTTCAGTAGAGAGCTGAGGGCCAGGCAGAAAGGGGGCCCAACACAAAGCTCTCACCCTCCTCTATGCAAAGTGCCTACTTCAGCACATAACCAGCAGGGCCGGCCGTCAAAATCTCAGTGCGTCATAGTGTGTCTTCAGATACCAGCAATACCAAATCCAGGTCCTGAAACATGACTGACCACTTCCAGTGCAAGAAAGATGGAAGGAAGAAAGGTGAATGTTAAGTCTACCAGGCTCAGTGTTTCCCACCATGTCCAGTTGTCCTGAAATGTGAGAAGAGCGACATCTAGTGTTCAAATGGTGCAGAGCAGCGTTTGCTGAAGTCTGGGACAGGGATTTGATTTTAAGACTGCACTTTTCAAGGTCAGGACATTCATTAGCTTGGAATCACATAATGAGAAAGTGATCTCTCTCTCTCTCAGTCCTCCATGGAGGTCACAGTTTGGTGTTTGTTTAGAGAGGCAATATTGTGTTAGGTTACAAGCCTGTCTTGAGCTTTACAGCTTCCCTATTGCTAGCTGTGTCACCTTAGACAAATTACTTAAGTGCTCTGTGCCTCAGCTTCCTTGTCAGTAAAAATGAAGTTAAAATGATGGAACCTACTCTGTAGAGTTGAGTAAGTTAGTATATGGAAGGTGTTTGACATATATCGATGCTGTTTCAGTGTTGGCTGTCATGTTTTTCAGTTTTTTGTTGTTGTTGTTGTGTTTTGGTGGGACTGGGGTTTGAACTCAGGACTCTGCCACTTGAGCCATGCCTCCAGTTAATTTTTCTCTGGTTATTTTGGAGATGGGGTCTCACAAACTATTTGCCTGGGCTGACCTTGAACCATGAGCCTTCTCATCTCAGCCTCCCAAGTAGCTAGGATTTCAGGAGTGAGCCAATGGCAACCAGCCTACCACACATTTTTTTTTTTTAACACTTACTAATTTCCTTTTGAAACAGAGAGCAGAGCAGGTCTTGGGCACCGAACTTAGGGCATGTAACTACCTTGCTACAATGTAATAGCATTTTATGTTCTGTCTTTGCTTTATGGTGACCTTCTATTTACAACCAAACCAAAGCAGGAAATAAGGATGTTGTTGAGAGCTGTTTCTGCAGAAACGCTAAGGCTGTGTTCTATCCCATGACCAGGTGAAGAGGAGAGATGCTGCCCTGAACACCCCTAGAACATGGAGGGCCCTACACACACGCTTGTCTCCTCTGCCTCTTCCTCTAGCCTAGTTCTCCTCTTGCACGCTCCATCTTATGCAAAGAAGGTCATTCAGGTTCAACAGACATATTTCAACTACCTTGCCCAAAGACAGCCCACCCGAGTTCACATAGGCACTGGGAGACGTCCTCCAACCTGGGTTTACTGCACTCCAACACAAGTCAAACACTCCATCCCCTCCCCACCTCCCAGCTCTGCCCGGGACACTCAGTCTCTTGATGTGCACTGGGATGGCTCCTTCTTTACCCTCATGGCTCAACTCAGAGAGGCAAGAGGTCTTCTCTGACCCTACTCCATCTGAGTGGCTGCTCTGTCCCCAACCCAGCCATTTTATATCAACTTTCCTGGTTTTCCTAATAGAACTATTTATTTCTGAAGCTGGTTTCGTTTCTTGTTCACTGTCCATCTATCTACGCTAGATTGTAAGGTCTAAGAAGTTCACATGGTCATCCTAGAACTAGGGACAGTGCCCAGCTCATAGAATGGCTCAGAAATACTCATAGGGAAAGTAAGGAAGAACAACAGCCCCCTTCTCCCCAAGGCTTGAACAAGGCAAGGCACACTCTTGTCTCAAATCAGGACTCTCCACCTTTCGGCTTCCAGAAGCATCACTAGTGTCAAATGTTTGCCATAAATGGCTTCATCTCCACCACCAAGGCCACTGTACACATCCTGAGCTTAGCCCTGTGTAAGTGACACAGGATACCTAGTGACACTAGGTACCAACAGGGGTCGTCATGCATTTCATGACTGAGTTCTGTAATGGGTAGGAATTTCTTTCTCTAAAATATCCTGGTTTTGGCCTCAGGAATGAAGAAAACTTCCTTCTTGCACTAGTGAGTCTGTAAACTCTTGTTGAGGACCCCTTAGATGTTAGACTGACAGGAGGTAGAACATCCCTGAACAGATATAGAGAACACAGTTGTAGAAATGAATGAAGACCACCCAACTGAGAACCACCAGCAATTTCTTATCACTTGGGTTTGGTAGAGACTCAAAGGCAGGTGGAAAGTGGGATATTTTATCATGAAGAAAGAGAAGGCTTCACGTCCATCCAACTGAGGTTGTTGCACAAGGAGGATCTAGAAGCAGGCATCATATGTGATTGGCTTGGGGGACTTATGCAGACTTCTCCACTTGGTCCTAAGTTGGAAGTGGGGACAAAAAAAAATCAGAAACTAACAGTCATTGACCATGTCCTGGCCATTGTGGGCCAATTGCTGGTTGGAGTTCTGTTGACATGCCTTCTGATCATTGCATCTGCTTATCCAGTCACAAGGTAGGTCATGGTGAGTGAACCTCAACCATTTGAGCCACATCTGGGGCATGAGGTGGGGATGAAGAGTGGGTGGTCTTTCCAGGGCAACTGGCAGAGAGCACAGGGCACACAGTCACCTGTTACCTCAGCAAGAACTTTCAGACTGCCTTAAGGTAGGGTTTGTCAGAGCTGGCAACCCTCAGGTCCTCGTGAAGGGCACTGAGGCCTCATGGCCACCCTTCCCACGATTTGTTGTCTCACTCTGGCTTCTATTTCACAGAGGCTGCAGGGGAGCGGGACCTTGACTTTGCAAGACTCTGAAGATTGGCTTTCAACCCGCAGTTTAAAGTATGAGAAGCTCACCCTGGCTGACCTGCTAAGTGAGGGCGCAGCCATGCTGTAAGTCTGAAGCCATTGTCCTTTCCCCGTGGCTGTAGCACCTCACAGGCCCTGGCTGCCACCCCTTGGCTACCACACTTTTCATGAGGCTCTGCTTTCTCAGGGAGGAGGGCAGCGGTGCCACGCAGAAGATGCACTTCCCCACCCATATCACCTGCCACTTTGAGTCAAGGCTTTCTGAGTGAGTGTTTCTCAGCATCCCCTGAATACCCCATTTCCCAGCCTGAACGTGACTATGTTCAAACAGCAGCCTCAGTGTGACCTGGGACAGGTCTCTTCCCACCTCTACCCCCAGTTTGCCTTTTTCTCCAATTAAAAAGTTGGAGCAGGTCCATGTCTTTTGGCATTCCAGAATCATAGTCCTTTGGACAAACGCCTAAAAGTTCACAGCTTCATTTGACAGTCAATGGCAAAGAGTGACAACTTTCTTTTTTTTATTATAATTTTTATTAGGATATATTCATTATACGGTGGGCTATTCATAGTACACATCTGATTAGACTTGCATTGTACATTATTTACTTTGCCCCCATCCTCTCTCCCCCTAACCTCCCCACCTCACTTGAAGCAATTGCAAGAGGTTTTTTTTAGTTCTGTTTCATATAGGTATATGAAGTCCATCTTCAACACCAGATCAGCTGCATTCATATCTTTGTAAATGGATGTTGAACACATGCATGCATCCCTACTCCCAAACAGATTTTGTTTGTTTGTTTTTGGTGGTACTGGGACTTGAACTCAGCACTTGCTAGGCAGATGCTCTACCATTGAGCCATGTCTCCAGCCCTTTTTGCTTTGGTTATTTTTTGAGATAGGGTCTCACTTTATGCCCCAGTTGGCCTTGAAATCTGATCTTTCCAATGTTTGCCTCCCAAAGTATCTAGAATTACAGGAGTGAGCCACCATGCCCACCTCCCAAACAGATTCTGATAGCACTGGTAGAATGTTATACATACATGCTCACAAACACATCTTTTTTAAAATCATATTATTATTGTACTGGGGGTACATTTGACATTTACAAAAGTGCTTACAATATATCATAGTTAAATTCACCCCCTCCATCATTCTTTTTTATCCTCCATCCTCCCATTCCTAGAATAGTTTCAACAGGTCTCATTTTTCCATTTTCATAAATGAATATATTATATTTCCACCATATTCACTCTCCTACACCCATATTCTTCCCCCTCCCACTGGTACCCCCTAGACAGGATCTGCTTTACTCTCCTGTCCTCGGTTTTTGAAAAAAGACATTTTTGTCTTACAAACACATCATGTGAGAATCAGTAGGCTGGGTGGTCTTAAGATTCCATTCCAGCTCTAGAAGTCCATGCTCCATAATTACTGTTTACCTGAAGTTTTCTGAAAGGATAGGACAATAACTAATAGCCCCCAATTAGTAATGTCCCTTGGCAAATTAAGTTTCAGTAAATTGATTTTTGGCAAATTGGCTTGAATAGAATCCTTCATGCTGAAGATGATAAAACTCTAAAGTTCTGAGTTTATTTTAAATTTTTTTGTATTTTTGAGACAGGACCTTACTGTGTAGTTTAGGCTGGCTTTGAACTTGCAATCCTGCCTCAGCCTTTTTTTTCTGGAGTGGGGTGAACTGGGGTTTGAACTCAGGGCTCATGTTTGCAAAACAGGCATTCTTCCACTTGAGCCATACGTCCAGTCCATTTTGCTCTGGTTGGAGATGGGGGTCTCTTGAACTATTTGCCAGAACTGGCTTTGAACCTTGATCCTCCCAATCTCAGCCTCCCAAGAAACTAGGATTATAGGTGTGAGCCACCAGTGCTCGGCTTGCCTTGGCCTCTGGTTTTGTTTTGTTTTTCTTTAATTGTTAAGGCCTTGGAGAAAATAAGGCAAAATGTGGAAGAGAAAGGTCACACAGTAGGAGAGGGCAGAGCTGGATCACACATAGCATGTCTCATGAGGCTTGTCGCCATAGCTCTGCACTCATGCTCCTATGCTCCTTAGAACTCTACCCGCCCTCCAAACCCATCATCTCTACATAGGCCCCCAGGGCAGGGCACTTAAATTCCAGTGACTGAGCCCTTATCTGAGCCCCTGGCACATCCAAGCTGTCACCAGAATGGTTTGCTTTGCTGTAAGGAAAGTTCAAGAAGTCTCCCTGGATGTTTTCTGGAAATTAATATTTTTTAAATTAATACAGTAAGAAACTGCCTCTGTTGCATCCTTGCATTCCGTCCCCAGACAACAGGGACAGTTCATTTGTGAAGACGCAGATCTGAGCAAGTGCAAGTGAGTGCTTCCTCTTCCTCACAAGACACATCTCCCCCTTTCCCCAGTCCTCCCACATCTGCCCTCACTGGCCAGCTCACCCTGGCCCATCAATTGTGTTCCTTTCACAGTCCCGGCTGTACTTAACCTGCTGCGCTGGCCAGTTCATATCTTTGCTAGTTTTCTCTATGCTAGATTTTGCCTTATTTTCTCCCAGGCCCTTAACAATAATTTTTTAAAGATCCATTTGGGCATGGTAAGTGCAGCCTGTAATCCCAGCATTCAGGAGGCTGAGGCAGGAGGATTGCAAGTTTCAAAGCCAACCTGAACTACATAGCATGACCCTGTCTCAAAAATCTAAAAAAAAAAATTAAAACATTGAAAATAGATAAAGCCCTGAGCTCCAAAGTTTCATCATCTTCTACATAAAAGTAATGACAGGACTCTATCCAAGTCAATTTGCCAAAAGTCAATTTACTGAAGATCAATTTACCAAGGGAATATTCCTTAAAATGCTGAATTCACAGTTAAACCAAGTCAACGGCAACATTGCAGAATTCTTTAAAGCTTGTTTAATCTTCTAACCACCCAAAAGTTCTACAAAATTTACAGCTAAAATATTTTGATAAATTTGGCAAATTTGTCATTCTGAGAACGGCCTTCAGCAACTGACTTTTGGCTAACTGGCTTGGGAGCCTTTGTGTGGCTGTAAGGATTGAATACGCCACTGCATGCCATCCACAGCCGGATTTCTGAGACATTACTAACTGTGGACTATTAGTTACTGTTAGGTACATGAATTGCTAGAAATCTTAAGACCATCCTGTCTACCAATTCTCACAAGACGTGTTTGTGAGCATCTGTGTATACATTTATATGCTACCTGTGCTGCCAAAATCTGTTTAGGCGGTCAGGCATGGTGGCGCATACCCATAATCTTAGCTACTCAGGAGGCTGAGGCAAGAGGGATACATAGTGAGACTTTTCTCAAAAAATCCAAAAAAAAATAAACAGTGGTTTAAATGAAATGTTTTAAATAAATAAAAATTTAGAAATCCCATCCGTGCATTCCTTCTGTGTATGTAAGTGACTGCTACTCAGTGGTGAGGTTGACCTTAGTGATGGGCCTTTCTGGTATCTTGACAGCGCTATTGAACTCTATCAACAGAGACTGCAGTGGCTTACAGAAAACAGCAAGAAGGTAACAGCCTGAAGTCATCCTCTGCTCCTGTCACTCATTCTGTCTGCATCGGTTAGAACCTTTTAATTATGGTAGCTCTCCAACGTAAACGGGCTTCAGCTACAAAAGAAATGCTTTAATCTGCATAAATTAAAACCCAGGCACAGCTGTCACCCTGTGCCCTTTGACTCTGGCCTCAGCTTTCCTCTAGCAGGGTTTTTTTTTTTCCTCAGGATGGCCTTTCCCAGGCTTGGAAAGATGGCCACCAACTGCTCTAAGCTTACAAGTCACCAGCTAGATAGCACCAACCAGAAGGGGACCTCCTTTCCTCATCCTCACATCCTTCCATGTCCTGGGATTGATGCAGTGGACTAATGGTGACGGATCACCAGAGCCTGAGTGTGAGACACACTACCTGGCTAGGCCTAAAACTAACGCTCACACTTGGGAAAAAATAAAACGAGGGGCAGGGGAGGTAGGGGGAGACCCATGAGCACCCCAAACCTCATGGACTAAGAGAGGAGACAGAGGGCTACTCATGGAGAGCCAGTGCTGTGACCAAAGGGAAAGTGGGTCTTGTCTGTGTGTGTTTGTATATCTGCAGAGGGATGCAGCAGGGCTTGTAACTGGGGGCATGCAGGCCAAATCTGGCCCACAACGATGCTTTTCTTGGCCCTGTAATTTCAAATATTTTTCATAGTTACCAAGATTTAAAGATCCTGGTATTTCACTTTTATGTCTGCTTTAAGACTTTTTTTTTTTTTTTGGTGGGGAGGACAATATTGGGGCTTGAACTCAAGGCCTCATGCTTGCTAGGCTTACTAGGCAGGCACTTCTACCACTTGAGCTACTCCACCAGTTCTGTTTTGTATTGAGTTTTTCCAGATAGGGTTTTGAGAACTATTTGCCCTGGCTGGCTTCCAACTGGGATCCTCCTGATCTCTGCCTCCTGAGAAGCTAGAATTACAGGCCCGAGCCACTGGTGCTTGGCTCAGACATCTCTTAAAAGATGAGGATCCTGGTACCTCCGAGTTCCGATTCCCTCTTGTGTACTTGCCAGGTTATTTTACAGGATGAGTTTCTAGAATTTTAATGGCTAGATATTAGGGAATGCATATTTTCAATTGCAACGGTTATAAAACTCTAATGGTAGCTGTTTTTAAACTTTAAAAAGAATAGAACTGGCTCCAAATTTTAACTTCTTTTGGCTGCTGAGGATTGGCAATGCCCTAGAAAACCTCATGCTTCATTTGAATTACAAATGCAGCCAAGACTGACCAGATGGCTACTGTATGTCAGACACTGTTCTAGGATGTAGGGTACGAGCCTGTGCAATGCAAAGGTCCCTCCTTCCTGGAGCTACAGCGCAGTAAATTCACAAATCATATACTAGGTCACACAGTGATGGTGCCATAAAGAAAAACACATGTAGGGAACAGAGAGTGCAGTAGGAGGGCTACTTAAATAGGACAGTCAAGGAAACACTCTGAGGAGGCATTTGAACAGAAACCTAAAGGAATTGAGCCATACTGAGGCCTGAGGGAGGATGTCCAGGCAGAGGAAACAGCAAGTACAAAGGTCCTGAGACAGGAACAAGTGTGGCCGGTTCCAGAAGCAACATGCAGGCTGGTGTAGCAAGCATAGGGGGAAAGGGGATAGGCAGGTTCACATGGGGAGGGCCTGTCCCAAAGCTGAGGAGTAAGCAAGCAGCAACATAGCCTGACAAGTCTCAAAGGATCCCTCTGGCCGCTGCATAAATGGGCTGTAGAGAGCACAGCAGGAAACAGGAAAGGTGGCTTGGCAATAGTGACCATGGCATAGACTCAGGTGCTGGTGTGGATGGGAGGAAAATGTGGATCCAGGGCAGGTGTAAAGGTCAAGCCTAGCCAGCAGGACTCGTTTGTTGATTTGACAGCCTTAGTGCCTGGGCTGATGCTGAATGTCATTTCTGAGATGAGGAAGGCTCGGGGAGGAGCAGGTTTGAAGGGAAATCTGTGACAGTGGAGGGACTCACTAGACACCACGAGAGATCCGCTTGGACATGGCCTTGATGATGGCGGGCATTCAGATGATAAAGACAGGAGAATAGTGAGCTCACATAGGGAGTGAGTGCAGGACAGTTGTTCTCAGATGGGAGTGATTTTGCTTCCACCTTTTGGCAATGGCTGGAGACATTTTTGGTTGTCACAGCTGGGGGAGATGGAGGCCCTGCTGGCATCTAGCTTAGCAGCAGCCAAGGACACTGTTCAATGTCTCCATAGTAGAGAGCAATCCAGCCCAGTGGTAGCTCCTGTGTAGACAAAGAAGTGGGAAATGGAGCCCTCACCCACTGCTTCTCAAACTTTAATGTCCCTCCCAGTCACCTAGTATTGACACTTTGGAGCAAGGAAGAGCAAAGGAAAAGGAGATCAGGTAGACAGGCCAGTGAGTGAAAGAAAAGTGGGAGAATGTGGTGTCCTGGAAGACAAGACCTAAAAATGTTTTCAAATTGCCAAATTCTGTGTGTGTGTGTGTGTGTGTGTGTGTGTGTGTTTATGCTAGGGATGGAGCCCAGGTCCTCATGCATGCCGGACAAGATCTTGTCTACTAACATATGTCACAGCCCTTGGTTTTTGAGACAAGGTCTCATTATGTAGCCCAGACTGGCCTCAAACTCATGATCTTCCTGCCTCAGCCTCCCGAGTGCTGGATTACAGACTTGCATCATGATGCCCAGCTCAATTTACCAAATTTTTGACACAGACTGTCGAGAAAGCTGAGAACATGGGTTTGAACATGGGTTTGGCAGGAGGGAGGTCTTTGATCACCTTCACAAGTATGGCTTCATAAGATTAGATTGGTGAGAGTCTAATTCCAGTGGGTCACAGAAAAATGAAAGGTAAGGATTTGTTGCTAAAATGAGAAGCAAAGAAATGAAGCAGTGGCAGAAGAGAGGTGGGTTCTGAAAGGTTAGTGTCTTTTCTAAAAGATGGGCAATAGTACAACCACTTTCTGTGGTGATGGAAATTGTACGGCAGAGAAGAGAGGGAGGAGTTGATGGTCCAGGCGAAGGGTTGGTGGCTGGATCAGAATTCCTATTTGACCAGAGAAGATCCAGCACTTCTGCCAACGGGTTGGTTTAAAGCTCTCAATGCCTGTAACCAGAAAAGGTGGCATGTGTGGGCCTAGGGGCAGGCAGGTAGACTGTGCATGGAAAGATTTTTGTTTTAAGCTTCTCTTTGGTTTGTTTTGGTGAACTTGGACACAAAGTAACTTGCTGAGAGAGTGTAGAAAAGCAACGTTGAAGGTGTGGAAGAAGATATAAAATATTTGTCTCTGGGCAAGAAGAGTGAATTGAATGGGAAAATTAGACATTGTATGCAAACAGAATCCAGTGGAACCAACCTATCAGCACTTCCCCAGCCCGCACCCAGAGATCTATCAGTGTCACATGGATGAAAGTTCCAATTCACACGCAGCAATAATGGGATGAACACTTGTGCATGGAAACCAGCAGCACTGATGTGATGGCTGTTGGAGGTGCGATTAGAAATTCATGGATCCGGCCGCCAGTGGCTCATGACTGTAATCCTAGCTACTTGGGAGGCCGAGCCAGCCCTGGCAAATAGTTCATGAACCCCTACCTATCTCTAAAGTACACAACCCAGAAAAGGACTGGTGGAGTGGCTCAAGCTGTAAAGCACCTGCCTAGCAAGCATGAGGCCCTGAGTTCATTAAAAAAAAAAAAAAAAAAAAGGAAACTCATGGAAATGATGGCAACTTTGAGCTTAATGCATCTGTCTCTGGCTGGTGGAGGAGATGGAATGCAGAGAAATTAGGTCAGATAAACTCACATAATTAGATATCAAACTGCTTTTTCTGAAGTCTCCAGATTGTCCACAGTGGGCATGTCCTTCTTTATCAGTGGACTTCCAAAGAATAGATTCTACTACCTGGGAGCAGATGCTGCCCAGAGAGGCTGGCAAGACACAGGGTTCTGCTTTTTCTTCCATCTGCTTCTTTCCTTGAGTGAGCTGTCCTTTCCCGGCATCAGAAGCAGTGCAGAGCTGTGCTGGTGGCTTCCAACATCCTTTTTGGTTTCAGGCATTTGGCCTCATCAGGGGAACCAGAGTGGCCATCCTCATCGATGAGTCGGTGGTCGGCAGTGGCCCCAGGAAAGAGGATTTCCACCAGGATCTCATTGTGAGTCTCTGGCACAAAACAGGATGGACCTATAGCCACCCCACCACCACCCCCTCCTCCCCACACTGCATTTGCTAACTGGCTTTGTATATTAGGAGATGCAAACCAGGGTGTTTTATAAAGAGCTGTTCTCACTTCATTAGCACCTGCTTGAAAGAAATATGTGGAATTCTGTGAAACCCCACCATGGGGATTTACTTGCAGTGTGAACTTCTAGTATTCTGCCAGCCACCACAGTACAAAGCTAGACTTTGCCTCAAAAGCCCAGGCTTCCTGATGTTAAGACAGGGTGTGGTGGTGGGCTGACTTCAGCCCACCACAGAGCTCCTGACCTTTTCTGGATAGAGGAGCTACTCTGGTTTCAGTGGCGGGTCTAGAACAGAAAAGCTCAGGGCTCTAGAGTCACAAGGCTGGAGTCAAACCCCAGCCACCTCCAGACTCTGGGACCATGGTACCTAATCTCCCTGTGCCTTAGTTACTCCTCTGTAAGATAGGGACAAGGACAATGGCTATATCATGGGACTGCCATAAGGATGAAAGGAGTTTGTGCAAGTCAGGTGCTCTGTGCCATACCTGGCACAGAGAGGCTTGTGAGATGACATGAAGGGCATCATTTCTTACAGAAATGGCCAGCATTTTGGGTGGGGACCACAGCAGCAACAGTTCCTTGTACTTTATAAAGGTCTGGCAGAGTCTTTATAGGGGCAAGTGGCCCTGTCATCCAGACCTGTTCCAGGGTTCAGCAGGTATCAGGGGACAGGTGTCAGTGCAGGCTCTCCTCAGGACAAGTCCTCAGGGTTGAGTTTCCAAAGACACAGGGGCAGGTGGTCTAACATTAGCAAGGGCCAGGCTTGTATGTGTTTGGGGGATGGGGCAGGAGAACTCTCTAGCTGGCCAGGAAGAGGGAGGAGCTCCCCCATGCCACTGGTAAAGCTCAGTGGCTACAGCTGAGGGCCCTGAGCGTGAGGACGTTATGCCCAGTGCTCATCCCCAACCTTCATGCCTCGAAGACAAACCACTGCCCCCCACTGTGTTCTCCCCTCCCAGGGGCCAGTTTGGTGCCCATGTCCAGCCATGGACAGTTGGCAGCCAAGACGCTCAACTTGCACATGAGACTCAGAGGCCAAAAGTGAAATCAGCATGGGCTGGCTGCTAAGCTAAGGCTCAGGCCCCTGTGTCAGCTCGGCTCAACCCCAGTCACAGGGGCCAGTCCAGGCAACAGGGCTGAAGCCAGGCTCCAAACTGAGCCACTGCTGTCCTTCCATACAGAGTCTCATTGATGAGCAGCTGAGTCTCAAAGAGAAACTGTATGTCCTGTCCTTCGGTGCCATCGCCAGTCCCCTCTGGCCAGCCCCTATGGAAGTCAGCACCTCCATGTGAGTGGCTCCCCACTTCCACCAGGATGCCCATGGGTTTGTTCTCTTTTGAATGTGTAAGGTGTAAACCACAGGACCTCAGTAGATAAGTGAATACAAATTAACCGTTCACAAAAGCAGGAACATGGGTAGCCAACAGTGTGTGAAAAGATAGTCATCCCACCCCCAGAAGCAGTCCTCAAAATGAAAGAGGACACAACCTCAAGACAACTTATTTTTTTGTGGTCTAGGGATGGAACAGGGCTTCATGCATGCTAGGGAAGCGCTGTACCACTGAGCTATGGCTCCAGCCCAAGACACCATTTTCATCTAGCAAACTAGCAAAGATAGTTTTATTATTGTGAAAATAACATGTGTGTTCTTAAAAATTCAAAGTGTGAAAATATAAATAATAGCCAATGAGCCTCCCTCTCACTACAATCTCCATTCCTACCTCCCAGTAAGTTTCTTAAGATGGGTGTGGTGGTTCATATCTATAATCCCAGTACTTGGGAGGCTGAGGCTGGAGGATCACAAGTTCAAGGCCAACTTCAACTACACAGTAAGCCCCTGTCTCAAAAATAAAAAATAAAAAAAAGTTTCCTATATCTACCTCCAGAGACAGTCTGCACTTGCAGGCATCTGTGTGTTTCTCCTGGTTTTAACATAAGCAGGAGCACTGAACACTGTTTTGCACCTTGGCTTTTCACCCAGTCTTAAATATCCTTCTCTGTCAATGTAAACAGATCTCCCTCACTTGTCATGGGTACATAGTATGTCACCACATAGATGTCCTTTGGTTGGGGATTCCAATTTGGGTTTGAGGGTGGGGGAAGTGTAAAAATTTCTACTTTGCGCTAGTATGTAAAATGTTCTTTTCCTTGATCGCCCACCATGTGTTAGGTATGCTGTACATGCATGATCCTATTGCAGTGGATTGTAACCCCCACTTTGTAGACGAGGAAACTTGGACTAAGTGGGGGGGTGGGTGGGCATGCTCAAAGAAACAGAGCCCGGATTGAATTGCAAAGCTCAGAGCAGATCCCAGGGAAAAGCAGAAGCTTAGATTCTGGCACTCGCTGTGAAAAGAAACCTTCCATGAGAGGACAGCCCCATGTGGCAGCTGTGCCTTCAAATCCCAGCTCTGACAGTCCCTGGAAGATACCGACAAGTCCTTCAGAACCGGGATAGTGACACTACTCCCCACAGAGTTGTTGTCAAGCTGAAATAAGAACTAAGTATCTGGCATGTAACAGGTACTCAGTGAGTGAGAGCATTTTTACTTAATTTTCCACTCTAGTTAGACTATTGACCCCTAGGATGTTAGACCTTGAAGTCACCTTGAGATCATCTAGCCAAGACTTCCTCAGCTCTGGAGACCTGCACTTCTCTTGCCATGTCCCTATGTCATATCTCTGCCACATTGCTATTATATAGTCTGTGTCACTTGTACTATTATCAGTTTTTCTTTACACCGGCTTTATTGATTACCCAAGGAAATTTTCTATTATTGCCGTATTTGAGAAGGCCATGTCACTTGCCATAATTAGGAAGTGGCCAGACAAAGAAATGCAATGAAAGCAAAACAATGACATTAGACTCTACTTGAAACATGTTGACTAGAGAAGGTGCCAGGCCTGGGATTGTTCTCCCTGTTCAAAAGGAAGATGAAAAGCTGAGATGTGACTCAATGGGAGAGCTTGCCTAGCATGGGAGAGGGTCCGGGTTCCATCCTCAGCACTGTGGGGGTAGATGGGGGATGACTCAATAGCTATAATAATGAAAGGCAAACAGCGCCAAGCTAATAAGATCTTTCTTTCCCTTCCTTCCTTTCCTCTTTCCTTCCTTTCTTCCTTTCCTTCTTCCTTCCTCCCTCCCCTCTTTTCCTCCTCCCTTTCATCCTTCCATCCTCCCTCCCTTTCTTCCTTCCATCCTCCCTCCCTCTCTTCCTTTCATCCTCCCTCCCTCTCTTCCTTTCATCCTCCTTTCCTTCCTTCCTTCCCTCCTTCCCTCCTCCCTTTCTTCCTTCCCTCTTCTCTCCCTTTCATTCTTCCCTCCTCCCTTCCTTCCTTCCTTTCATCCTCCCTCCCTTTCTTCCTTCCTTCCCTCCTCCCTTCTCTCCTTCCCTCCTTCCTTTCTGCTGATTATAGAACCCAGGGCCTTTACACTTGCTAGGCAAACACTCTGCCCCTGAACTCCATCCCTAGCCTGAGGTTTCCTTTTGTCAGACTGAAAGAGGAAAAGGCAGAATTATTTGTCTAGTGCCATGTGAGACATTTAACCAAGAAAATGTCTGTCATTTTCCTTCTTACTGGGTGTGGCACAGCCATGGTGCCTCCTCTTGGGGCCCTCTTGAGTCAGGATTAAGTGTGCTGCATGCTGATGACTAGGTCCCAGAACGAATGTGTGGAGTGTTGTGGAAGGAAGGATCTCAGCCCCAGACCCTCAAATAGAGACACAGAGAGCTCCAGTTCTGGGGTCAGACCTAGTGTGAAATTTTGGTTTTACCAGATGCTTAGGGTATCACCTTGGGCAAGTCCTAACTCTGAGCCTCAGTTTCCTCATCTATAAAATGGGAATAAAGGTGCCCACCTGAAAGAATTACAGTTAGGCTTAAATAAGCTCATCTTTTTCTTGGGCCTGGCACCTAATAAGAGTCTTGTACAGTCATGTGCCCCATAATGACATTTTGGTCAATGACTAACCACATATCTGATAATGCAGCTGAAAAATTCTTCTCAGCTAGTGATATCATAGCTATTGTATGGTATAAACGATTCAGTATGGCTGCCAGCCATGTGAAAGCAGAGCCCCACAGTTCTGTGTGATGTGGAATGCTGGGTAATGATAGTAAATGACTATCTTACCCACTGTACTCTAGTCCTGGGGATCAAACCCAGGACCTCATGCATGCTAGGCAAGAGCTCTGCCATTGAACTACATCTCCAACTCCTGTGTTATTCTTTTTATTAATGTTTGGGGAACACTACTTCTACTTATTAAAAAAAAGTTTACTATAAAACATGGCCACCGCCTGTTGTGGTGACCGCTGTCTCTTGGTTGCCTCATTTTCTCTGGTACTTGACTTTATTTCCCATCACCTTGTTCACTGTGGCCCTAGGAGAAGTGGCGTGCCCAGGTGTGGAGTAGGCCACACCTCATGGGTTTGTGTGAGTACTCTCCACCATGATCACTCAGCGATGAAAGCATGGGAGGACATTTCTCAGAATGTAACCTGTGACTAGAGTTAGGTTGCTGTGGTCTCCTTCCAGCCTCCAGGAACTGAAGCTCTGGGTCAAGAAACTGCAGCCTGAGGGAGGCAGCAACTTGCTACATGCCCTGAAGAAGATCTTCGCTCTACGGGAGCTGAATTCTCTGGTGACCATAATGGGAAGCTGGTAGGTTTCCTTTCTTACTAAGCCGGTGACAGGCTGTGTGAAGGGGGTTGAAGAACAAACCATTGTTTGAAAAGAGATCACTCAGCATGACTTCATACACGCTTGAGAGAAGGCTCATGTCCCTAAGCCATCTATCCACAGATGGGGCAGGACTGCTGGGGCCAGCCAGACCTGCAGTCCACCCAGCCCTGCAGGTAACCTGCAACCCAGGTGGCCAGTTAAGAAATAGTAGGTATTCCTGAGAATATCACTTTGCTCTGGAATGTTCTCAAAGTGGTTAGACCTGGGGTACCCACTTCTCTTCTGTCTTCTCCCCAGCCCAGATCAGCCTTCCGAAATCCTGTCTGACTACATCCAGCAGTCCACTGTGGGGAGGGACGTCATCATCCATGTCATCACCTACAAATGCGACACTCAGGTGCCCTCCGTAAGTACCTGAGACCCTCCAGGGTTTGCCTTGGATGTGTTGATAGTGAGGTGGACCAGCTTTTGAAGATTTGTGCTGGAGAGACCCCAAGCTATGGTCCAGAATGTTCCTCCCCTGCACCCATTTCCCCTGTTGGTGAAATGGGGGGCACCGGAGAAGACTGGTGGAGCATTGGTGTGGCTCTAGCGAGGGCTGACCTATCGCCCTCCCCACAGGCTGTCCTAAAGAACCTTGCAGAAGCTCTTGGGAGCTACTACCACTGTTACAGTCCAGAGACAGAGGTAAGCTCTAGGCCGCTATGCTGTCGTCCTTGCCTACTGGGCACTGACCAGGGAAGGCCATGCCGTGTAGTTGCCTCCACCCTTTCCCTCCATCCCCTTGCCTATGCTCAGTGAGTTCACACAGGTAAAATCAGATTACAGCAAAGATATGGGAGGACAGGGACACCCTGGAGTCACAAGGGCTCCTTTGATCAGTGTGGATGATGCCTGTGAATCTAGAGCCTGTCACAGCCTAGTCAGCAAAATCTTTAATCACTGTCAGCTGCTATTCCATGGGTCTAGCTGCCTCCTCCCACCAGAGCCTTGAGTCTGAAACAATCACCCTGACAGTCTTCCTGAGACAGATAAAAGGCCTAACTCAAGGCAACCCAGCTGGGCAGAACAAGCAGCCAGTTCTGTCCCAATCCATCCATTAGTGTCCTCATCTCTAATAACAGCTAAGCATCATCTACCCTGTGTTCCCAGTGGAGGTAGCAGTTAGCAAACATGTGGATCCATTTGGCAAATTAAGGATCCAACCATGCTAGGCATGGTGGTACATGTCTGTAATCCCAGTCCCCAGGAGGATTGAGAGTTCAAGGTCAAAAATCAAAAAGAACAAAAAAAAATCATTGGTTCAGCTAATACACTGTGCCAGCTAATAACCATTCATAACAAGGTGAGCAAGGTTTGCTTCACACAGTTGCTCTCCCATGTGTTCTCCACTCGTTCAAGTGCCACAGATATAGGGAATCAAGGTCAGGCAACAGCCTTCCTTGCTACTCATTGCCTGGACTCTGGCTGTAGGTGTCACAGACAACAGGGACTAAAGGTAACATAAACAAATGAAATTAGCTGGCTTCAGAAATATTTTATATTAGTACTGGGAGTGGGGCTCAGTGGTAGACTGGTTGCCTAGTAAGCAAGAGGCCTGGGTTCAATTCCCAAAAAACCCAAAGTCTAGATGTGGGCTGTGGGCTGGCGAAGTGGCTCAAGTGGTGGAGTGTCTGCCTAGCAAGCGTGAGGCCCTGAGTTCAAACCCCAGTGCCGCCAAAAACAGAAAAGTCTGTAGATGTGGGGCTATGAGTGTTACTTAGTGGTAGAAAGAGTGCTTCCATGCATGAGGCCCCGGATTTAATCCCCAGCACCCAAAACCAGAAATATTTCATCTTAAAATCTGTGACTCTTCTCTGTTGATTATATGTTATCTGTTCCTTTCCCACCCTTGATGGAGAAATGGGTGCAAAAATTTCATCATCATTATCATCATCATTTCTTTTTTGGGAATACTGGGGTTTGAACTCAGAGCCTCATGCTTGCTAGGCAGGTGCTCTGCCACTTGAGCCATGCCTCCAGCTCTTCTTAGTTCAGTTATTTTTCAGATAGGGCCTCTCACTTTTTCCTCAGGGTTCTGGCCTCGGGCCTCAGTCCTCCTAGTTGAGAGGATTGAGGACAGATGCACCACCACACCCAGCTTATTGGCTGAGATGGAGTCTTGCTTGCTTTCCCCCAGCTGGGCTTGAGCTTCCATCCTCTCATCTCTGCCTTCCACACATCTGGGATTACAGGTGTGAGCCACCATGTCCAGCCTCCAATGGCAATTCTATGTTTAACATTTGGAGAAATCTGTGAACTGTTTCCACAGTAGCTGCACCATCTCACATTCCCACCATCTCTGGACCAGGGTTCCAATTCTCTGCTTCCTCACCAACTTGTTATTTTCTATTTGTTTGTTGTTGTCATCATTATAGCCATCCTAGTGGGTGTAAAGTGTTCCTTTACATTTTTAAAGTTAGAAAATCCTTCAGTTGTCAAAAACCCTTCAGGCCAATACTGTCCATGTGGAATAACACGTTTGCAGGCTCTGTGTGGCACATGGAATCCAGGGTTTAAACAGAGTCACTCAGCTTTGGGAATTGACTTGGCTTGTGGCCCTCTCCTACCTTGGCCATTGCTGATAGCCAAGTGACTTCTGGATGGCTGATTGCTCCCACCACCCCCAGATCTACACCAGTCGGGACATAGACGAGCTCCTGGCAGAAATCCAGACAGCCCAGAGCCTCTTGGGCCATGTGCAGGCCCTGAGGCAGAGCAGCCCGTGCAAGGAGCTGGCCTGCACAATGAAGGAAGTAGGTGGTACAAAGGGGACAGACTCTGCTCTATTGACACACAGAGTTGTGGGATTTAACCTCTCCAAACCTCTGTTTTCACCTTATCACTGTGGGTGAGGGGAGGGTGGGTTAGATCAGGACTCCCTGTGATTTGACATAGGACTTACTTTTGAATATACCTAAGTCTTGTGTTTTGAGCCCATGGAGGGGTTTCCTGTCACCTTGGAGTCTGTGGTGAGAGCGGGGAGGGGGCAAGGAGGATGGGTCCCTATCCTTGCTCCCTGGACATTTCAGAAATCTTCAGAGAAGGGGGGCAAGGATGATCGGGGTGGGGGAAGAACTGAGCGAGCCAGGGAGATAGAGAACTTTCAGCTCTAAAATATGATCATTTAATAAGAGTTTTTTTTTCATTTAACTTAGATCTCCACAGAGATTGCAAAAGGGCCGTTCACAAGTCTCCTGCATAAACCCCCAAAGCATGAAGCTCCTCTCAGAATCGAGTTCCCAAACTTGGACAAGACTTCTGCAGAGTGGCTCAAGGTCAATGGTCTAAAAGGTAAAGCTCCAAAGAGAGAGGACCCCAGGACTCAGGACTCAGGACAAAAGGCTTGAATCTATGGGGGCTTCCCAGGCAGTGCCTTAAACCCCACTATTTTTCTTTTCAGCCAAAAAGCTAAGCCTTTATCATATCCTGGCACCCAACGCATTCTCTCCTGTGGAAGAATTTGTGCCTGTTCTCCAGAAAACAGTATCAGCAACTATCCACGAGGTAATTCAAAGTCAGGGCTCTGTCCAGTCCTCTGAATAGGTGTTCCCTGTGGCATTTCCCATCTTACTACGTGTACAGACGAAGGAAGTCACATGGCAGAGCCGGGGGAGCATGGGCCTGGCTGGGATGTGAGCTTCCACCCAGACTCTAGAACAGGGTTGAAGGGGAGCTCAGCAGTAGAGGGCTACTTATCCCCAGCACTACAACCAAAATAATCAATCTGATTTCAAAGACCTGAAAATGAGACTTGGGAGATGGGGCAAGAAAGAGTAAATTAGATGCCACAGTTCCCTCCACCATGGAAATTTTCTGTCCACGTCCCAACTCAGGTGGGACAGACTTTGCTGTCTCTGTGTTCTCACTGTAGCATGTGCATACTTCTGTGATTGTTCCTGCAGCAGGCTTATGCATGCAGGTCCCCACCAAGTATGAGCCCTTAAGATTAAAGACTGGGCACCAGTAGATTATACCTGTAATCCAGGCTACTCAGGAGGCAGAGATTAGGAGGATCACAGTTCATAGCCAGCCCTGGCAAATAGTTCGCAAAGATCCTATTACAAAAAAAGGGCTGATGGAGTAGCTCAAGTGGTAGAGAGCCTGCCTACCACATGAGATCCTGAATTCAAACCCCAGTACTACCAAAAAAAAAAAAAGGAAAGGAAGGAAGAAAAAAAGAAAGGAAGAAACAAAGAAAGAAAAAGACTCTTCTCCAACTCTGAATTTTCACATCTAGTATATGGAAGCAGTCAATGAGTGCCTACTGGATGCTGCATGGGTGGGAAGATAGGAGGAAGGAAGGAAAGAAAAAGGAAAAGAATGATGGAGGTGGAAGTGTTGATGAATGAATGGAAATGTAGGTGGGAGGGTGAAGTAGAGATGGATGGATGAATGGATAGATGGATAAATGGATGGGTAGATGGATAAATGGATGGGTGGAGGGGTGGATGGGTGGTTGGATGGGTGGATGGATGGGTGGATGGATGGGTGGATGGATGGATAAAAATGTGAACAGATGGAAGCAACAATGGAATGATCAATAACAGGAAGGAAGAGAGGAAAGACAAAAGGATTAAAGTAAGGGTGGAAGGATGGAGAAGTTGAAGGAAGGAATAATAGGGAAGTAAAGTAGAAAGATGGGTGGAAGGATTAAAGGCTGAAATGAGAGGGAGGTGTAGAGGTGTATGATTCTAGCAGCAGGTGAATAAAATGATAGATGAAAATAGTGATAGAGAGGTAGATGCGGTGGCTTGGTGGCAGATGAAAGAACAAGATGAATACACTGGGTGTCCAGCATCTGGGAAGGCCTATCTGGGTTCCCAACTTTGAGTAACCATAGCCAGTGTGTTTTAAGGTCTCTGACTCTGCTCTGTTGCCACAACCCCACATCACAGAGAACCTCCCGAGCAGGCAGCAGGGCCTCCTTCTGCCAGCTCCAGGCAAGGCAATGACCTGGTGGCAGTGGTGGGACGTGTGTGGATGGGTGGAGAAATCTGATCCCAGATGCCTATTTCTCTCCCATGCATCTAAGTTGCAGAGTCCAGTGCCCCAAATTAAACTAACAATCCTTCTCGCTCATGCTTCTGGCCACCTGCTCCCCGTCCTGCTCACACCTGCGTGCAGAAGGCAATGGTACAATTCGAATGGCATGATGGGACAGTGAAGAATGTCCACGTGGACCCACTCATGCTCTATGAGTACCAGGTCAGTGGGCCCAATCTGTCAGAATATGGGGTACTGAAAGTGCTATGGGCTGTGGTGACACAAACTCCTTGTTGTGAAGAGTCCCTGCCTCAACCAACACACAGGTGAGATCTGCCTCCTCCCCATTCGAGCAATGACTCCGCCCTTCCTAGTCTATTGGTGGACTTAGAATGTCCCTGCTGCCTGGATACCCAGAGACTTGACACACCATTCCCAGAAGCCCACTGGGGTGTCTGCCCTTCCTCCCTAACCTCTCATCTGCCACCCTTTGCACAGTAACTCATGGTGGCCACCCGCTCTTACAGAAGCAGCTCAGCAGGGCTGTGCGCATGTATGAGAGGCGGGTCGAGTGGCTCTCCCTGGCCAGCAGAAGAATCTGGGGCACCCTCTGTGAAAAAAGGTACCTCTCCCAAGCAGTGCTGTTGTCCTTCATGGGTCTGCTTGTGACCCAGAGTTTATCCTACTCGTGATTTCCAGTCAGTAGTCTCAGAAGCTAGCGCCTAGGTTAGGGATCAGAAGCCTCTCAGCAGAACTCCCAAAGGAGAAAAAGATCACCATCACCATCCACATTAACAATCTCACCATTGTGTCACTCAGGATTCTTCACTTAAAAGGCAACAGAAATTAATAATTGGCTTAAACCAAACAGAAGTCTGACTAAGGTAGCTGAAAACTCTAGAACAGATTTGATAGCTGTCTTCAGGCATGGCTGGATCCAGATCCCAGTCATGGCAAAAGTCTGTTTCTCAGCTCTACTTTCTCTTCCCTGAGCTTTGTCTGCTGGCAGGCTCTTCCTTCCAGTGACAAGGTGGCTGCCTGAAGCCTGAAAACTGCTTTCTACCAGTTTAGCCCTCCCAGGACTATCCATGAGCTATGCCCTCTAGCCAGGGAGGAGTGATGTTCTCACTGTCCAGGGTCAGATGCTTACCCATGGAGCCTCGCATGGGGTCAGCTTCACCCAACTCAAATGGACTGAGATGCAGAGGTGTTTCCTAAAGGAAAACCAGGGTGCTGTTGCTAGAAGAGATAATGAAGGCTGAAGAGGGAAAGACAATAAGCATCTGAATATAGCCAGTATTATCATTCCATACCTTATCTGACGCATTGCAGCTTACAAAGTATTATACTTTATAATATTGTACATCTGTTGTGCAATTTAGTTCTCAAAGCAACCCTATAAGCAATCTTACTCTAAGTTCTTTGTAATAGTACACTAAAGATCAGAGAGGTTTTCTTACTTGCCTAAGGCCACTCAGGGGGTAGGGAAAGGGAACTTGGAAAAAGAAAAAAAAAAAGGTCTTCAGACTCTAAGTCCAATGGATTTTCTGTTACTCTCTATAGCTGTCTCAAAATGAGAATGGAGGGAAGAGGTAGGAAGTATAAGATTTGAAGTAGTAAAAGGTGAGGACAAAGAATGAGGCTGGGTGTGCAGCTAGAGAGCTTTAAAAGGTGCAAACAAAAAGACAAAACCATCTCCCAAGATGTGCATGTATACCTAATTCCTTATCTTGCTTGCTCGCCTTGTTTCTGTTTTCCCCACAAAGACCCTGACCTAGAAAAATGTTGAATGCTAATTCTTTTTATTTCTCTATTTTTAATTAACCTAATTCTAACCCTTGAATGCTAGTCCTTTGAAACAAAGAAATTCACAAGAGTCATATGCAGTCCCCAGAGACTGAGCCCTGTCCACCACCATTCCATTATAGACGTCCTGGGAGAGAAGGCTCCAGGACCCCCTAGTCTACTGTTGCAAGCCCATCTCTGTTGGCCTCAAACCATGGAAAAGATTTTGGTCAGCTGTGAATTTGGCATGCAGAGTCCCCCTGGAAAAAACTTTAAATAGTAAAACGGAACAAAATGAACATTAGCTGAGCGATTCGGTTGTCTTGAAGCTTGTGTTTCTTTTCAGGGTGGTTGTAGTGCTCGATATCTCTGTCACCAATTCCATGTACATTATTCATATCCAGCACTCCCTGCGACTGCTGCTGGAGGAACAGCTCTCCAACAAGGACTGCTTCAACCTAATCGCGTGCGTGCCTGTAGCTCCTGTGGGGAGGGATCTGGGGGTTCCCCCCACACTGCTGGGCTCAGGGCCACTGCCCATTGTGGGCAGTGGGACAACAGATATGGATGTCACACGTACCCCACATCCGAAGAGGGCCATCGGTTTATCTGATTTGGATGATCTTGTCTGGGGACTTGAATAATTAAGTGGTTGCAGGACTGTTCCCCTGGGGCGAAGGTGGTAAGTTGCCCCAAAACACACTCCTCAATCAGCCAGGATAACATAACTCAGCCTATTGCCCTATTTGGCTTCCAAGTTGATAAACAGCAGAGGAAAGGAAGACCCCACCAGGCCTTAGTCTGAGCCCTCAATCTGGTTCTAGCAAGCCACAGTATTTCAACCATCTGGGACTCAAATTCTAAATTTAAATAAAAACAGTACTCATATAAATTTAGGTTTTATCTAAATATAAAATGTATCCAATTCTTTTAATCTTAGGACTTTTATTAACATACAGTACTTGTACAAAGCAACTTTGTGATACTTCCATATATGTGTATAATACACTTTATATATTTACCTATATCAGATATACAATTTTTTTGTTTTTTTGCAGTGCTGGGGTTTGAACTCAGGGCCTCACATTTGCTAGGCAAGTGTTCTTGCCACTTGAGCCACTCCGCCAGCCCCAGATACACAATTTTTGAAACTATATATAATTTTTAAAATATATAGTCTAGATAGTTTTAAAAGTGTATATTAAATAGTTTTAGAGTATATGTTATATATAATTTTACATATATTTAACTATATATTATATATTGTTTTAAAATTATACATATTGTATATATAACATATATACAATATATAATATATATAATATATATAACATATATAGCTTACTAAATTTAAATACTAGATACAGCTTTTTAAATTGCTATAATTTTAACTAATTAGGGAAAGCAGAAATGGACCCCACTTGAGGTATGCATTTTTACCTAATATCATACCAAATGGCATGTTCTAAACCTATTAAATCAGTAGTTAATATTAGATAGTATTCTGCACCAGAGTAAACCTTTCTCTAATAAATTTCACAAAAAAAATTGGACATTTCCATTTACCTATCTACCCATCCATCCATTTAACAATGTACCTTGAGAATCTGCCATGAGCTAGTCACTATGCTGGTGCTGGGGACTCAGAAGTGACAACACCTGTCCCCAAGAAACTTGGGACCTCATAGGAGAGACAGGCATGTGAAGAGTGTTTTCTGAAGCAGGGAGAGGCAGGATCTGACTATGAGGGAACAAAGCCAGGCTCCGTGTACTTTGCCTGACTGAGTCTTGAAGATGAGGGTTTGCCCAGCTCATGGGGAAGATGCACAATGGAGAGGAAGGGCATTCCAGGTAGAGGCATGGAGGTGTGAGGTATGATGGGATTTGGGGGACCCTCAGGCATTTCAGTGTGGTTATGAGGGTAAGAGGGTGCATGACAAAACCCCAGATGATGAGAGGTTTGTGTCTGCCATGCAAGACCATAATATGATCAGGTTTTCATCTTCAATTGCTCAAGCAGTGATGGATTGAGGAGGGGTAATGTTGAAGGGAAGGCAGCCGGTTCTCCGACCTCGTGGATGGGCCCAAGCCAAGACTGTGGGAGTGGAAGAAAGGGATGTAGGAGGAAGCTAGGAAGGCAGTCACTGTTCAGTTGAGGGGATTCAAGAAGGGTGGAGGTGTTCCAGGTAGCACATCTTCAAAGGAGAAGATGGTTTTAAACATGGGGCTTTGATTCTTTTGAGTTTGGAGATCCTCAAAAGGAGAGGTCATGGTAGGATCTCCAGAGAGGAGTTCTTGATAAGAAGTAGGGGTCACCAAGCCATCAGCATTGTTGTATGGCTGCCAAATGGCTTGCCTCTGTGTGGATGAGAACGAGAGAGAAGACAACCATAGAAGTGCTTGGAAAGAAAGCACCAATATTTGGCAGGGAAGGGAGCCACCAGAGAAGACAGGAAAGGAGGGGACAGAGAAGTAGGAGGGAAACCAGGAGCAAAGGTGTTGGGAAGGCAAGGGACAGGGTGGGAAAGGGAGGGGAAGAATGAAGGCATTCCCTGCATTTGCAGAAAGGATCTACTGGTAGTTAAAAGATAGATAACCCCGAGGGCTAAGGAGTTATGAACAAAGGGTTGGTGGAAGCATAATTTAGCATTGCCCTCTGCATTGAATTTTTCCTTGTCTGTTCCACTAAACAAAAGTGAATCAGCCTCAGGAAATACTAAGATGAGTGTGCAAAAGTAACTACTCTAGGATGCTCCACACAAAATTATGATAGTGAAAAAAGCTGAAACAAACTGCATAACTGTAAAGAGGAAACTGGTAAAATAATCCTGACAGTGAAATACCATGCAGCCATTCAAAAGAATGAGGGAGACTTGAGTGCATGTCGGAATATGTCCTCAGTAAGTCGGGACAGACACAAGCAGGCCACAAACAGCGTGTGCCGGATAGCTCTGTGTCTGACAATGCGTCTGTACCTGTGTGCAGTTAATGAAAGAAGACAGAGCAAAGAGTTGGAATGTTGAGCAGGTGATAAAACTGAAGGAATTTTCATTTGTGTTTGCATTTTTGGACTTTGCCCCAAGATCATACAGGATTTACTATCTATTTCCACTGGAGCTGGGTGAATGAAGTCATTGTTACTACTTGCCAGGGAGCATTCCAGGGCTGAAGCAGGAAAGCAGTGGATTGGGAAGGGACCGGCAGGTATGGAAGTGAGCTACAGTTTTTCCAGGGAGCTGATTCCTACTGACAAAATGGAAAGGGAGAGAAATCACTGGTAGGGTAGTTTGGGGGTATTTTAAAGTTGATGAGAACAGGGTTCAGGTGAGGCGTCATCTTGGACCAGAGAGGGGCACCTTGTCCCAGGAAAGGAGATAAATTTTCTTCTCAAGAATCTTCAAGGGCTGGCAGAGTAGCTCAAGTAGTAAGTGTGCCTGCCTAGCAAGCGTGAGGCCCTGAGTTCAAACCCCAGTGCTGCCAAAAAGAAAAAAAAAAAATTCATTTTTGTCTGAAAGGGAAGAACAGATAATGTGTATCTGTAGAGAAAGAACAATAGCATGCATTGGGACGAGGAGGTGTGTTGTGAGGGGACCCAGGGTTGGAGAGTTTATAAACTCCCAGAGGGTAGGAGGCCACATGTTGCTGTAGCTCTGCCTTACTTGGAATATTCTGGAACATGTCACAACAGCAAGAAAATCCCCTGGTTGGCCCAGGCCAGTGATGTCCTAACATTTTGGGGAGTATCATCAGAATTTTGTTCCCCTAAAAGTCTGGAGCCCAGAGATCTAGGCTGTAGAGCAGACATACACTAGGCCCAAGAACAAGCCTTCTTTGTTTCCTCCATAGGTTTGGAAGCACAATTGAAAGCTGGAGGCCTGAGCTGGTTCCTGTGAGCCATGACAATTTACAGAGTGCCTGGAAGTAGGTGACAACAGAGCAGCTCTGTGGGTGTTGTCCTCCCTGTCCCCTCTCCCAGGGAGTTTCTGCCCTCTAGAGTTACTGCCCTCCATCCACCAAGTTCTCTCTCCTTCGGGACTCCCTCAGCCTCACTCCTACTTCCCCAGGTGGGCCCTGGGCCTGAGGTGTCAAGGCAGCAGGAATGTCCTCAGTGCCCTGCGGAAAGCTGTGGAAGTAGACTTCAAGGACAAAGACAAATACCAATCACAGGGCATCTACCTCTTCACAGGGGGCATCCCCGACCAGGATGTGGTGGGTAGGCCCCATCCAGAGCATCTGTTGTCTCTTGTAACCCCATCCTCCTTCCCCCAGGTGGTGCCTCACAGCAGCTGCTCCAGCCTGATTTCCTTTTTCTTTTTGTGGTTCTGGGGATGGAACCCAGGGCCCTGTGCAAGCTAGGCAAGTGCTCGACCTCTGAGTTGCACCCCCAGCCCCAGTATGCTTTCTGAACCATCCCTTTTCAACCTGTACCACGCAGACCAGAACCTGGGGATGTGAAGAGGCAGTTCCTGGCTCAGCAGGTCTGAGTGGGGCCTGAACTGCATTTCTGGCAAGTTCCTGGGGGATATCCATGTTGCTGGTCACAGATCACACCTGGTGCAACCAAATCTTGACTCCAGGTCCCAGCCACGCCCTACTTGGATGTTGAGAGAAATGAGACTCATGTGTTTCTGTGCTCAGGTCCAGGCACTAGACCAGGCACATAGTAAGCCTTCAATAAAGATCAATTAGGCTGAACTGTTTAGGAGACCAGCTGTTCCCAGGCACTCAGCTATGGGCCTCCTGCCTTCTCTCCCCAACAGTCCACGCTCAGCGCCTACATGGCCGAGGCCTGTGGAGGCTGCGACCTCCAGCTTAATGTGTGTCTCTTTTACGTGAGCGAGCCACAGATGGACACTATGCTCCCTGCCTACTATGCCAGCCGCACGGACACAGCCGCTGCCTACAGGGAGGTCACCCGGGCTACCGGTGGCCGTTTCCACTGGTTTGGAAACACAGGTACGTGACTGTTATCTGGTGCTTCCACCTCTCTCCACACAGTGTCTCAGCACTGGCATGGCTCCCTTATGTCATTGATTTATTCCAGAAAATTAGTATATGAAAATCATATTTTAGGGCTGGAGACATGACTCAAGCAGTAGATTGCCTGCCTAGGAGGCACAAAGCCTTGACTGCAAACCCCAGTACTGTAAAAAAAAAAAAAATTCTATTTGAAAATATAAAATTAGGGACTGGGAATGTAGCTCAGTGGTAGAGTGCATAGACCCTGGTTTTCATCCCTAGCACCAAAAAAGTAAACAAAAAACAAGTAAGAATGCAAAACTACTATTTTGGAAGTTAGTAGTGGTGATGGCTGCACAAACATGAACGTGCTTAGTGACTCTGGCTGAACTGTGTACTTAAAAATGACTGAGAACCCAGGGTGTAGCTCAGTGGTAGAACAAGTGTTTTGTGCACAAAGCCCTGAGCTCAATCCCCAGTAATCCCTCCAAAAAGGGTAATTTTTATGTTATGCTTATTTTACTACAACTTAAAAAAAAACTTTTTTAAAAGGTAAAACTTTAAAAATATTTTAGAATATCAGATCTGGGGATATAGCTCAGTGGTAGAGTGCTTGCCTGGCATACTTGAGGCCCTTGTGTTTGTGTCCCGGCACAAAAAAATGGAGTATTTTAGAGTATCAGATCTAGAAGTCATCCTAACACCCTTAGACTAACATTTCCCAAAGTGATATGTTCACAACAGGTGACCCACAGGATAGCTGTAGATGGTACACAGAGTAACTCATATATGTGATAAGTACACACTTGTTTTAATATATCTTAGAAAAATGCTGACTTTCCATTGCTGGCAGTTACATACATTTTCTTTTTAAACTATACATTTTGGTAAACAAAAAGGGAATGGACTAAAAAACATTTATAAAGTAAATAATGGCTTAGGTGATAAGCAGACACAAAACCATGACAACACAGGAATGACAGGCTGGGACACACCAGGGCTTGCAACCCCTCTGACTGACTCACAGATGAAGTGGCTCCCAAAGCCATGCTGTGCATGTGGCTACAACATTGATAGCCTCTCTGGGCTGAAACTCTGGGATGCTTCTCTACTCTTTTCCCTAAAGAGTACTGGACATGTACATTTATTACTAATAACAGCAAATGCTCATAGGCCACTACTAGATGCAGTTCTAAGCATTTTATGTATATTAGGCCTCACTCCCTCAGTGACCCTATGAAGTAGGTGATGGGAAGCTGAGATGCAAGAATCCAAAAGCCAGGAGCTAAACCCAGCAGGCCAGCACTAGAGTCCATGGTCTTAACCTTACACGCAAGTCCCTGTCCCATGGGACATCGACGTTCACTATAGACATTAGTTATACAAAGAATCCCAGGTAGTTCCTTTTATTCCGTGGAGCAGCAAGAACTCTACATCTAACCTGTGAGCAGCACACTGGGTCCTAAGGTCAGCCCCACTGTTGGTGACCACATACCACGGACAGTGTAGGGACGGGCACTGGTCAGCTCAACCCATTATGGTTCATTCTTGCCCCTTGAGCTTGGATCACCTCCATATCGCCCTCATATATCCAGATGTGGAAAATTGCCAGGACCCACAACCCCTCCCCAAACTCACAATGTGCTTTGTTTCTAGGCATTTATGAGAGTGATGACATCAGTGACATCATATCTGAAATAGAAAAGGCCATCAACTACTCCCAAAAGGTAAGCTTTGGGCTGGAACCAAATACCTGTACTGGCTTCTATATTAATGTCCTGGGGCCACCATAACAAAATACTACAAACCAGGCAGCTCAAAACAAAAGACATTTATTCTCCTACTCTTCCAGAGGCTATGAGTCTGAAATCAAGGGGCCAACAGAGCTGTGCTCCCACTGAAGGATCTGGGCAAAATCCTCCCTTGCCTCTTACTTGCTTTAGTGGGAAAAAAAATGCACTGGGTGACTGTTGCAAATGGTGTGGAAGACTTTATTTATGGCTATTGCAATAGGATTGCAATGTTGAACTTGACTCCAGACACAGCCAAGGTAGCTGGGATAGAAAATGACAAGAGGAACTTGATTAGTCATTCAAGCAGAGGGTTCTAGATAAAGGCAGGTCAAAGATTTCGAGGTCAAGGATGGGGAATGAAGAACCTGATCAGATATCAAGGGTGGTGTGGATCATACTGAACTCACTTGCCAGGATTCTTTGCTCTAACTGGATTAAACCTACCAAGACCTGTTAACCCTGTTAGAGAAGGTGGCTCAAAGGAGCCATGAAAGTTTGTTTTTTTTCCCAAACTCCCTCTTTGGCATTCCTTGGCTTTGAGAGCATAATTCCAACCTCAGCCTCCATCTACACATGACTGTTTCCTTCTGTGCATGTCTGTGTCTCTTCTCTCACAAGGGACAGATTAAATTAAGGATCCACCCTATTTAACTTACATCTTAATCACGTTTACAAAGACCCTGTTTCCAAGTGAGCTCATATTAGCAGATACCAGAGGTCAGACTTCAACATACCTTTGTAGGGGACACAACTCACCCCACACTGTGTCCCCTCTTCATGTCCTGATGCACACTGACTCCTAAGCCATCAGATGGAGCATAGGGGTCTTCTGTAGGTCACTGATGTTTGGTTTATACCTCCTGGCCTCCTTGAATTCCTTGAACACATCAAGTCAGGGCCTTTGTACCGTTTCCCCTGTCTGCCATTCCCCTCCAGATCTTCTGTGGCTTGCTCCCTAAAATGTTACTTTCCCAGAAAGGGGAGGTGAGCAGCACAAGGTGTGATCAAAGAGGTAGGAAAAGGTCAGCTCAAATCAGGAGCAATGAGAATGGAAATAAGGGAAGAGACAGAACACGTATAAGGAAGAATTGACCAGACTTGTACCTGATGGAACATGCAGGGTGAGAGGGAAGAAATGAAGAGTAATTTCAAGTTCCTTGCTGAGCAACCGGTAAATGGAGGTACCACTGACCACGAGAGAGAAAACAATGGGAGCCCATGATAGGTGCAGGGAAGGTGGTCTTGGACAAAGGGAAATTTGTGGGGCCTATGAGATAACAAGTGAGAAGACCCCACAGGCAAGTGGGAAAATATATGAGCTGAAGATAGAGATTTGAGGCAGTTCAAGCCTCAGGGATGGACAGACAGCTTGTAGGCACCATGGTCAAGGTCATGGTGAAGGTTATCATGACCCACATGTTAGTTACTGCTTTCGCAAATTCACCCCTCCTAGACTGAACTCCTTGGAGGGCAGGTCCACATCTGTGTGTTGTTTTCCCCTGTTGTCATTGTACCCATAGGTCTGTGGCTCCCCAGTGTGCCTTAGCTTCTTCCCTAAAGGCTGGCTGGTTCCTTTGCTTTTCCTCAGGTGCAGGCTCTCCCATCCCCTCATCTAATACAAGGTGTTAGTGAGCAAGAATGGTTTAATCCACCCTTCCTCAGAATGCTTAAATTTTTGCTTTGTTTTCTTTTTTCAGATGGTCTTACTATGTAGGCTGGCCTATAACTCACATCCTGCTGTCTCAGCCTCCCAGTGCTGAGATCACATTAGCACCATACCTGGCTGCTAATTTACATTTGAAAGGTGTCCTCTAGCACTTTGAGAATAATTACTGGAGAAGCTTTCAAGTAGCTGAGAAATTTGTAGGCAAGAGCCAGGCCAGGCATGGTGGTACATATCTGTAATCTCAGCTATTCTGGAAGCTGAGGCAGAAGAATCAGGAGTTCCAGGCCAGTCTCATCTACATAGTGAGACCCTATCTCAACAACAAAAAAATGGAGGCAAAAGAAATAAATATTTCACTATGATTTTGCCAGCATTAGGAGTGGGTCCTGGACACAGGGTGAGCTGGTCAGCACCTGTGGCTGTTCAAGGGACTTACAATGGAAAGAGCACTGGCCTAGAAGCTCCCCACTTAGGAACAGTGTGGCCTTGGACAAGAACCTTATGCTTACCAAGCTTTGCTTCCTTGTCTGTACAATGATGACAAGACAGCACTGCCCTGTGGCATGGTTGGCATGTCTTATTGGCCTGAGATCTTGAGACCCTAGTGCCTGGTACATCTTAATAATCCACAGCACTTGGCATTTGATGGGGAAAGAGGCATGGCAAGTCTCCCTGCTGTGCATGTGTGTCTGTCTGTCCCCAGTGGCCAGGATACTGCTGACCCTCCTTATTCCCTTTGTAGTGTGCCTTACTGGTGGCCTCCCTGAAGAACCATTCAAGAAAAGAACTGGAAAAAAGTGCAGCCCTCCTGAAAGATAAACCTGCGATGCTCAAGCAAAGAAGTCAGCCCAAGAAATTCTGTCCTCCCAAGCCCACAGACCCCTCGGTGACCAGAATGGTTTGACTCCCCTCCCTGATAACACGCAGAGGATTTTGTGTCCAGCTTGTCTCCTGGTCTTTCCTAGGTCTAAAAATGGCTGAGCCAGACCCCAGGCCACAGGCCAGCATGGTGGGGCAGGGCCTTCAGGCATGTGTCTTATGGGTGCCTCCCACACTGCCTCCAGGGTGGGGACCTACTTCTCAGCTCTGGGGGCACCCCTGGCACCCACCTTTGGCTCTACCTATCTCTCCCAGCTTTGTTCCCTAGCCTGGTATTAGGACTCCAGGTTACTTACTGGCACCCACCATGGCACCCATAACTCCCCTGGAGGCTTTTGTGGAGCAAAGGAATGAGGTCCCCAGTGGGACCTTGCTGGTGCAGCCCAAGGCTTAGCAGGCACCAGATAGGAACCTAAGGTCAGGCCTGGGCCTACCAGGATATGGCCCTGTTCACAGTCTGTCAAATGTGTCCTGCATAAAACAGCCACTCCTCCCACAGTCAGAGGCCCCATGCAGCATGTTGGAGCAGAGTGGGCAGTGAAACCCAGAAGTCCTCCAGCAGCTTGCTGGCTGAGATCCTAGTGAACACAGCACAGTTTCAGAATGAAGAAATGCAACCCAGAGAGGGTATAGCTTATTTCCAGCTGGGGAGCTGCAGTTCTGGGGCTTTCTGTGCATTCAGCCACTGCCTCGTTCAAAGAACTCCACCAGGTCTTAACATATAGTCCTCTCTTACCCTCCCAAATTCTGGGGGAGTTCCCAGAATCTCAGTGTCTTCCTGTCAGCCTTCAGGGGTTCCCAAAGGTCCTCGGATGGGCTGGTAGAGTGCCTGAAGTGGTAGAGCGCCTGCCTGGCAAGTGTGAGGCCCTGAATTCAAACCCCAGTGCTGCCAAAAAAAAAAAATTCCCCCAAACCTAAAGGTCCTTGGAGTGAGGAGGCTTAGGCCTCGAACAGACCTTCTGACCCCACTCCAGGGGCTCCTGAAAGTGGCAGGATCCAAGCCATTGTCACAGCAGCTCACACAGAGGTGTCAGCTGGTGCAGAGCCCTAGTAACTTTAACTAGCTCCACATTCTGGGCACTCTTTGTACCATACACACATAAGACACATGCATATATTTACTCATTCCCAAGATCAGAGTCCTCTCTAAACCTGCTGCAGAAGATGGTCCATCCCTGCAAAGTTCCTGATTGACAAAGGGTGGGGTGACAGGGTAGCGACTGCCACAGGAAAACAGGCCTCTGATGAGAAAGAGGGCCTATTTTCTAGAACATTAAAGATGACCCGGACAGAGAGAAAAGCCCCTCATTGAAAGCTCTGAAGTGGCGTCCACTCAGTGTTGGAGCAGTCACCTCCCCAGGTAAGGCATGGCCGCGGGGGTAGGGGACAGGGCATGAGCCATGGATCCATAACAACAGACACTAAATGATCAGTGGATCATGAGTCTTGACGTGTCCCAGCCCATCTGCGAAGATGGTCCCATGTAAAGTCTGTCACAATCAGTTCCATGCTGAGGGTTTTCTGTTGTGTCCTCATTTTACTGACAGGGAAATTCGGGCTCAGAGGGCTGAGAAGGTACAAGCTCCTTGGGAGGGCCCATCCTATTTCTATGAAAGTATTCAGCTCATAAACCAAAGACCAGACATCTTTATTCTAAGGCCTAAGATATAGCAGAACAACTCAGGGCAGAGTTCTGCAGTCAGGAAGATCAGCGTGGAGACTTCACTCTACTTACTAGCTCATGACACAGGGCATACAAAGTCCTTAGTGCCATGCCTGTTGCCTGTCAGGACTTGGTTTGATAGCCCTAGCTGTTACTGATCTAGACAAAGCCAGGGGACCTGAGGCAAGGACAAGGGGTGCCTAAAGGCCATCTCAGAGCCTGACTTCCAGGGATAGAGCATAGCTAAAATGGAGACATCGCTAAGCCAGGCTTCCTAGCTGTAGCTCAGGAACCCACAAGGCCGGCCCAACCAACAAGCTAACATCCTCCAGCTGCAGCCCTGCCCAGGAAAGAAGGGACAGCAGAACAGAGGAGGAAGACAAAATCCAGGTCGGCAGAGATGGCTCTCTCCCTATTCTATACAGAGACCGGGAATAAAGTGGGTAAGCTGGAGTCTACACAGTGTCTGAACAGCAGTCTGGCCCTGTGGGAAATATAAGAACAGCAGTCTCTGAGAGGAGGAGATCTCTCCACCACTCTGACTGCTATCCCTGCAAGGCCCCTGGAGCTGGTCTGTCTTCAAACAACTCAATTGTCCCAACCCAAGGAAGTGGTCAGGCAAAATCTCAACACTGTCAAAGAATGACAGAAGTCAATATTCAAAGGAGCTCTCCCATAGTCCTTGAGTACTCTGGTGCCATCCATGAGGGGCAGCCTTCTTAGCTCTGAGGCTGATAGAGAAGGGAGTGAAGATTTCTCTAGGCCAGCCTGATGGAGTATCGTGAAATCGAACCTGTGATAGTTAGCTTTCTGTAGCTGTGACCAAAATGCTGGGAGAAAAACTTAGAGGAAGGATTTATTTTGTCTCATGGTTTCAGAGGTAGGAGGGCAGGGCAGAGCAGCTCCCATCATGACTGATAGGAAGCAGAGAGAGAAGGGGCCAGGAACCATATACAACCTTCAAAGGCATGCCCCAGTGACCTACTTCCTCCAGCTTAGCCCTGTCTCCTAAAGTTTCCACCTCCCAGAATAGCTCTGTAAGCTGGGGACCAAGCATTCAATACATGACCCTTTTGGGGGGATACTTCATATCCAAACCATATCAGTACCCATCCCAGGAGCGATTTATTGCTATGTGAAGGGAGGTCCTGAGGAGTCCTTCCCCTCCACCTAAGAGCTCCCTTTCTACCTCTTCAGCAAATTGCATTTAAGGAATTTTGCAACTAACTTGACTGACAGAGAAATTGACATGAGAAATGGGGGGTGTCTCAGGGAGGAAGAAGAAGGCTAAGTGTGTACAAGGTGACCTTCCTCTGTTTCTCCTAGGCTCTGTGTATAAGAAATACCCTCAAAGAAGAAGGGTAAGGAGGACTGGCTCTTCTATTGAGCTGCCCAGAAAGGATACCATTTGCTCAAGTCAAGAGGTATAAGTTGTGTGAACCAGCACATTACCCCAGACAACAATTCCTTACACCAACCATTACTTCCAGGAGGGTGGGCATACTTGGAAGAAAGGACAAACTTGGTAAGAATGACTGCTTACTGGGGTGGATGAGATAATGGCTAAATAGACCTAAGTTCAAAATCCAGTTCTGCTACTTCCTGACAAAGGGGCAGTCATAGCCACACTTGATCTCAATGTGTATGTTTGTAAAATTGAAGACAATTGCACCGACCTAATTAGAGTAATGTGAGAATCATTAAAGTGTATTTTGTGGGAAGTATTTTAACGGTATCAGATCCTTCTGATTGCAAGCAACAAATCCCCCTTGTTTTCATATCATCTTCCCACAACCATTCAATGGAAGTCTTAACTTGGTTCTGATTGGGCCAGTCCTGGATGCCATTTTCTGATTGGTTATTGCATGCCTATTCTGGCATCTCTTGTTTTGATAAGAGAACCTGAGATCAGCCTAATAGGTTATATAGTCTGGACTTTAAACCAATCAGGACTTTCCACCCAAATTGTGTGGTGGAGGGTTGAATAGAATATTGGAAAAGAACAATGTCCTCTACACAAAGGATGAATAGGTGCTCAATAAGTTCTGTTCCCTGTTCCCCATGTCTTGTGACTCTTTTCCCCAGAGCTAGGTATGAACCTGTGTGTGATGGATGCTCGTGAGAACTCAGGACCCCCATTTCCAACACGAGACAGATGTCAGACAATCAATCACTCAATTAAGCATCAGTTGCCTAGATAATGTTCTTTCCTGTATTCTAAAGTGGGTAGCAAATTATGGGCTGAAAAAACTGAAGATGGAGATTTCCAGATGCATTGGTCCCAACTGTAGCCATCAAAAGGCAGCACAGAGGCCAGCATCCGCCAGACACTGCAGTGCCTTCCCCAGCATTGAGGTCAACGTAAGTCACAGTGCTGTTACTCCCCAGCTTTCTCCCCAGCTCCTTGCCTCTTGTCATGCACCTGGCCTCTGTTCCCACTTAAAGAGCCCCACCCCCCCAAAGTAGAGCTGCCCTCAGCCAGAAAGAAATACAGAACCCTGTTATGGAAAAAGTTAAGTCAAGGCCTGAGATCACACTCCAGAGTAGATTCCCCACCCCACCCCACTGTGAGAAATGCGTACAAGTTCTGGGCTTAGCAGAAGTACTCACACAAAAGAACTTGGTGCCCCCAGTGCTGACCACGGCTTTGTCAGGCTGGCAGCAAATGGGGTTACGACAGGAGGCAACGAGTTCCCTTCTCTGTTTTCTACTTTGGGAAAGTTATTATTTTTTTTTAACTGCTTTGATGTTGGAACAAGTAAATTTAGTATAAGGTAAAAATCTGATCATTTCCCTTTTATATTACATTATCAGCATTTTTACTGTGTTTTTTTGTTTGTTTGCTTTTTGCAGTCCTGGGGTTTGAACTCAGGGCCTTCATCTTGAGCCACTCCACCAGCACATTTTTTGTGATGGGTTTTCTTTGGGATAGGGTCTCACAAACTATTTGCCCAGGCCGGTTTCAAACTGTGGTCCTCCTGATCTCTGTCTCCTGAGTAGCTAGGATTACAGGCATGAGCCTCCGGTGCCTGGCTCATTATCAGCATTAGAGGGAACTAAAAATAACCCTCAAATTCGCAGTTACCCACAAGAAGAACTTATGATCGTCTTAGCATGCTGTCCCTCTCCACCTGAGGTCATTCTCCAGTTTAAAATTTATGGACTTCTCACCCCACCATTAAGCATTGTCTATTTTAAAACTTGGAGATAATGTGTTTTTTCTTACCACAGTGACTGCATTCATCGTAAAGTACCATACTAATCCCCCCACTCCTTCATAGAACAATAAATCTAATAATCCCCCCCAAGCCCTGTGAGGACTGGGGTTTGAACTCAGGGCCTTGCACTTGCTAGGCAGGAACTCTACCCCCTGAGTCTCACCCCTAGCCCTTTTTGCTTTAGTTATGTTTCAGAAAGTATCTCACGTTTTCTCCTGGGGCTGACCTCAGACCAAGATTCTCCTATGTATGCCAACTAAGTAGCTGGGATTATAGATGTGTACCACCACACTCAGCCCTCTAGTAGTTAATAAAAGGAAAAAAGAGCTTCCAAGTAAACAATAGTGAACACCTGTAATCCCAGTACTTGGGAGGCTGAGGCAGGAGGATTGCAAGTTTGAGGCCAGCCTGGGCTACATAGCAAGACCCCATCTCAAAAATTAATTAATTAATTAATTAAAATGTATGCTCTGGGTTGGTGGAGTGGCTCAAGTGGTATAGTGCCTGCCTAGCAAGCATGAGGCCCTGAGTTTAAACCCCAGTACTGGAAAAAAAAAACAAAACCTGTTTTTGGAGTTGTTGATCACAATGGAATAAACTGTTTTGGGGTGCTGAGGCTGAAGAGCTAGCTGATGGGTTTCTGCCTTCTTTGCCTCATCCAGGGAGTGGTACGGCACCTCAAGAGGACGCTGTGGGAGATGGAGGTGTACATCTCAGACTTGGAGAAAGTGATGCACTGCTACGTGCAGAGGCTGCAGTGGCTACTGTCAGGTGAGCCTGCCTGCTGCCTTGGGGATGGGGGGCCTGAGGAACAGAAAGGTTGACCTGGGACTCCAGCATTAGTCCTTCTAAGACCAGGCCCTCAGCCAGGAGGGTCATCAGGTATTATATGAGCCCCTGATTCAGACGTCAGGTAAGGTGCTAGGTGACAGGAGGGTGAAGTCTTGACCATAGAGCCACAGAGAGATCAGGCCATCTTGAGGACATCTGACACCTCACCTTCCTGTCCATGACACGTAGCTCCCCTTCTTACTGACTGAGCCCCAATGAACCTGTGGAGGTGGAGATGGGAGGGCGTGACCTAGAGGATGCCCTCTGTGCTTCTCTCCAGGAGCACCCAGCTGCCTCTGTGGCAGGTGAATGGATGGGGTAGGCAGAAAGCCAGGCTAACATCCCAGAGGTGGGTGGCTTGAATTTTTTTTTTTTTTGGTTGGGGGGCTTGGAGTTAAGAGATGGTCTGAAGCATTGAGGCTAAGAGACCAGACTAACAGCTGGAACCAGACAGGAGGGGATTTAGGTTTTGGGGCCTGAAGTGTTCTGGGAAGGAGGAGGAAGTTCCTTCCAACAGGTGGCTGTGTATGAGCAATGCAGGATCCTGTGCAGATCCATCAGGTCCTATTCTCTGCAGTAGAGCCTACATGTGATCATAATTGCTGCTTTTTGTTCTTTCTTTCTTTTTTCTTTCTTTTTTTTTTTTTTTTTTGCATACTGGGGTTTGAATTCAGGGCCTATATCTTGAGCCAGTCCACCAGCCTGTTTTTGTGTTGGGTCTCTCAAACTATTTGCCCAGGCTGGCTTTGAACCACAATCCTCCTGATCTTTGCTCCTGAGTAGCTAGGATTACAGGTGTGAGCCACACAGGTGCTAGCTAACTACTGCTGCTTTTCAAAACCTCCAGAGGAGGCTGCAAGCTCAGGGGGTCATTGTCAGGACAGAGGCTGGAGTGAGGCAAAGAAAGAGTGGACCTTTCCCCATTCCCAGCTCACACTGACCACTAGGAAGGGCTGAAGGTGGAGACTCAGCTCCCTCTTTTGCAGTATGAGGTCCCCTGCCTCACACACGGGTCCATATCTGAAAACTCATAGTTCAAAACTTACCCAGTGGTTTCACTCATTCTCTCATTCATTCAACAAGTAAGTATTGAGTACTAGGGAAAGGGTGGAAAGTAATCCCAACATGGTCCTTGAACTCACAGAGCCTGGGGTCCTAGATGAATTAGATCTCAACCAAAGAGTCACAAACAAGTCTAATATCACAGCTGTAACAAGGGCAGGGAGCGGAGGCCCACAGTGCTAGGAGCAGCAGTTGACCTGGACAGGAAGGGTAAGGAAGGCTTTCCCAAGGAAATGTTTGAGCTGAGTTCTGAACAGTGCAGAAAAAGGAAAGAACTCATGGTGTGCTGGACACACAGTGGATGCTCAACCCATGCTGAGGTGCTGAGTGGGAGGGAGGGTGCAGAGTTCAGACTAAAGTGAAGGAAGGCAGTATGGCCAAGTAGGGCCCAGCCAGAGACCACCTGAGAGATGCGTGCAAGGCACGGACTTTTTTATTAGCAGCAATGGAAAGTCATTAAAAGATTGTGCTTCTTTTGAAATTGTTTTAGGGTTTTGAGATGGGTTCTTGCTATATAGCCCAAGCTAGCCTCCAAATTGCTATGGAGCCCAAGAGTGGCCTTGAACTCCAGGTGGAGATCCTCCTGTCCCTGCTTGCTCCTGGGATTACAACTGTGTGCCACCATGCCCAGCTTAAAAGATTTTAAATAAGGAGAAGGTGATGGAGTGGAATGAGAGTGACCTAGCTGTAGCACAGTGGGGAGATTGAGAGCTGGCTGGGGTAGTGGTGAGGGGGATAGATGAAATGGGCAGAGTTAGAGATTCAGGAGGTAAAAAGAAAATGACAGAGCTTAGTGGCTTTCACTGTCCCCACTGTCTGGTTACTAAGGGGATCAGCAGGACATTTGTGGTTAGAGGTCCCTCTCAGGCTGACCAGCTGGCTGGACATCCTTATAGGACTCCCTATATTCTCAGATTTGCTTTCTCTCTCTCTCTCTCTCTCTCTTTAACTCAGGGCCTCAGGCTTGTTAGGTAGCCTCTTTACCACTTGAGTCACTCCACCAGCCCATTTTTGTGTTGGGTATTTTTGAGAGGGTCTAATGAACCATTTACCTGGGCTGGCCTCAAATGGTGATCCTCCCAATCTCAGACTCCCAAGTAGTTAGGATTGCAGGCGTGAGCCACCAGTGCCAACTGGCTTCCCTCTTATTCTTCTTTTGACACTTGCTTTGTCATGAAATGCCCAGATGAGTCCTGGGAGACCCATGGGCAGGAGGTTCACTTGTTGTGGAGAGTGATAGGTCCATTTTATAGCAGTTCATCAATTTTTTCTGCTGCCCTAATGAATTCTAGAGGTGTTTCCAGATTGTTGGACACATCGCCTGGTTGTCTAGCTCCCCAGTGTCACCTCTGTTTAGCCCAGTGTCAAAGGTTACCTAACTAAATTGCCAATCAGGATCTGGGTAGGAACCTCAACTCTGCCACTGCCAGGCTGTGGCATCCTGGCAAGTCACCAAGCCCTCTGGGGCTTCCCTTGTGCTGAATTCCAACCCCTTGAACAACTTCTCTGCTTTACCTCTCCTCCCTGTCCCCATGGGTCTCTCTCTCCAACCTTGCTTTGTCCCCCACATTGGCTTTCTCTCTGCTCTTCAGCACGCCCTACCTATCTCTCAGAGCCTCCTCAGAGGCTCCCCCACAACCCTACTGCTGCTCATTCTTGGCTTCCCTGCTCCCCAGCCTACAGCCACCTAACTTCAATTCTCCCCATTACATGCCCATAACACTCCTTTTCACGACCATCAGCAGAGTTGTAATTATTTGTCTGACATCTATCTTCCTTGCCTGACTGTAAGCTCCATGAGGACAGGGGTCCTCTCTTGTCCACATAATGGATGCTCAGTTAATTTCTGTTTGCCTGTTGCCTGACTATGACATCTTTTCCAGCTCCAAATAATATGGTGACACTGTTTAATCCACTCACATAATTTTAGGGCAGAATCTCAAGCCCTACAATGTTGTAGCCACCAGTGCAAGTTGTCACAGGCAAAGCCCAGAGCTGGAGCTGCCCTTGGACAACTGACCTGTCCACCTCCACTACAAAGCCATCTCCCAGTTGGGTGCATTATCAATCACCAGGCAGGCAATAGGTGTGTTGATAGATACAGTAAGGAAAACCTTTGAGGCAGGACCCCTCATTCCTTCCCCTGCCTATGTCCACCCATGTGTGAGCAGGGAGCCGCCGGCTGTTTGGTGCCATCTTGGAGAGCAAAGTATGCATCGTGTTGGATACATCGGGGTCCATGGGGCCCTACCTGCAGCAGGTGAAATCAGAGCTGGTTCTGCTGATTTGGGAGCAGCTGCGGAAACACTGTGACAGGTAGGAGGAAGGGCTGTGAGTGAATGAAGTCAGGAGACCAAAGGGCAGTTCCCCAGTGTTGCTAGGACCAGGCACAGCCCTCCTCACAGTTCCAAGGAGCCTGGAGGTTTCTGAGGTGCCCTTCTGAATGGCTTATTGAGCAGGAAAAGAACACTATTCTGCTGGGCTGCAGGAGGAAAAGTGTTTTTTAAAACTCCGTCTTAGGCCCAGGGACAGCTGCAAGCGCAGTGAAGGTACCACCAATAGCTTTGAATTGTAACTTTCTCTGGACCTGATTTTTTTTTTCTTTGCAGTATTACGGATGGAACCCAGGATCTCATGCAAACTAGGCAAGCGCTCTGCCAATGAGCTACACCACTATCACTGAACTTAATTTTTAAGTGAAGGAAGTTGTTTTCTCTATGCAGAGGGTTGACCCCAAGGGGACAGCAGGAAACACTGGTCCCAGGCTGGGTCTCATTCTTTCCTCAAAAATTGACAAAATTAAACATTTATTGAGCACTTCCCATGAGGCAGACACTTTCCAGGCATGATTTGACCCTATGAGTGTTCCTATTATTATCCCATTTTTCAGAAAAGAAAACTAAGACTGAGAGACGTTTGTCCAAGAGCACATACCCATTTGGTGGCTGAGCTGGGATTTAAATCTATTTCTTTCTGCCTCTAGAGTCTTCAGTATGTATCCTCTCACTCTTGGGTGGCCCACAGACACCCCCTCCCCCACAACGGGCAATAGGTCTCATTGTAGAGGTCTTCAGTGATGGAAGCGAAGAGTCCTCACAGAGGTGACCAACTCAGCACAGCCTGACCCAGTCTAACCAATCTCCTTCTCACCTGTCCTCCCCAGTTTTAACCTGCTTAGCTTTGCTGAGGGCCTACAGCCATGGCAGAAAACTCTGGTGGAGACCACAGATGAAGCATGTCACGAAGCTATGCAGTGGGTGACTCACCTACAAGCTCAAGGGAGCACCTCAGTCTTGCAGGCATTGCTGGCAAGTGCTGCCTTTGAACCTGACCCTGTAGCAGAACAGAAATAGCATCACTCCTTATACTGATATTGCATGAGCTTTGGGATTTGCAACCTGTTATTTCATTTCATCTTCCCAATAACCCAATAAGAAAGGGATTCTTGTGTTCACTTTAAGATGAAGAGACAGAGGCTTAGAGAGGTTAACTGACTTGCCTGGGGCTAACCAGTAGGAAGCAGGCTGTGTTCTTGGTGGTCTTAGGCTGAAAGGGGAATCTCAGTGTTAATGGATAGGTCAGTAGCATCTGATCAGACACATTTTCTTTGGGGACAATTGGTTTTTACCATTCCTGGAGAGTCCCCATGCGATAACCTTCTTGCGAGGGCGATAACCTTCTTGTGCTCTCTCAGAAAGCTTTCAGCTTTCCTGATGCGCAAGGACTGTACCTCCTGACTGATGGGAAGCCAGACACAAGCTGCAGCTTTGTCCTCAATGCCATCCAAAGGCTGCAGGAGGACAGAAAAGTGAAGGTGCACACCATCTCCCTCAACTGCATGGACAGGTGGGCACCAGGGGTTGGGAGTAGCTTGCTTTTTTTCCTGGGACCACACACATGACAGGGAGGCCTAAGCTCCTCAGCTCATCCCAGGCCTTTCTTAGACATCAGTCCCCCTACCACTTGTCCTGTAAGTCAGGAATTGAGAAGTACATTGCTTTGTTAGAGGCCTCAGCAGATATTACATTGCAGAGCAAAACCCCTTTCTCCACCCCAAATCAACCAACCAATGGGCCAGCTTCTGTTTCTCTCCAGCCTGGAATTGATGCACCCCAATTGTCTTCCAACCTTTCTTAAAAACACATTTGTGAATATTTGCAAGGAAAAAACTAGAGAAGAAAACACATTGATGTTGCACCGTTTTTCTAAAAGATTACTTTAGAAGAACATGTTAGACAAGCCCCAGCTCCTTCACAGAAACGTTATTGGGTGGGGGTGGAGCTCAGTGATAGAGCATGTGGTTAGCATGCATGAGGTGCTGGGTTCCATCCTCAGCCCCCAAACCAAAAACATCAAATTCCTTTATTATTAGCAAAACTGATTACTTAGATACACAAAACTCTCTGTCTAACCCATGAGCTCTGTAAAGGTTATACTGTGCTTCTTACAGGCCTAACACACAGCAGACACTGGAGAGATGGCCGATAAAGGAATGGGGGACCAGAACATGTTGCCCATGTATTTTAATGGAGTCTAGGCTAAGTGGCAACAGGAATTTGGTGAATCTCCAGTAACTGGCCAGGAAAGTGTACTTCATGGGGTTAAAGATGGTGTCAGTGGTGAGAGTCAAGGCTCATTGCCAGGCCACTTTCCCTTAAGTTCCTCATGGGCCTGGGGCTCAGCCAAGCCTCCCCCAGCCTCTGTGAGCCCCTGGGCCTCTGTTCCTCCCCCAGAGCAGCAGTTGAGTTCCTGAGGAAGCTGGCTTCCCTCACTGGGGGGCGCTACCACTGCCTTGTTGGTGAAGACACGCTCAGCAGGATCCATGGCCTGCTCACCAGAGGTTTCATCAAGGAGACGGTAGGTCCTGGGCTGTCAATGTAAGTCTGTTGAAAAAGTTCTAGTTCAAACTCCAATACTGCTAAAAGAAAATGTTCAATAAAGTATCCACAAGGTGGCCAGCTGTGGTGGTGTTTGCCTGTAAACCCATCTACTCAGGAGGCAGAGGCAGGAGAATGCAAGTGTGAGGCGAACCCAAGCAAAAGCACGAGACCCTATTGGATAAAACAAACTAAAGCAAAAAGGGCTGGGGGCGGGGCTCAAGTGCTACAGTGCTTGCCTGGCAAGCATGAAGCCCTGAGTTCAAACCCAGTACCACCGATAAATAAATAAATAATAAAAGATCATAAGCCTGGGTTTCCTGCTCAGGTCTTTGTAGGTCTTGTAAGAAAAATATTGACTGAAAAGGTCCCTGCAACTCTCCTTTTAAGCCAACTGTCCTCAAGGTTCGGGAAGAAGCAGGTTTTAGGAGTGTTAATAGACCATCTTACCTTTGTTGAGCATTTACAATATGCATAAGTGCTTTCTGTAGGTGACTTCTTTTTGTCCTCCCAACCACTCTTCCACTCACTTAGATGGACAAACAGGCTCAAGGAGTTAACAACACATCTAAAGTCAAAGGAGGGGGAAGCCAGAGCCCAAGACACCATGCTCAGAGCCTGTGTGCTTTAATTCCTGGGCTCCGTCTTCCTGGGCTCATTCATCAAAACACGGATATTCAGATTATCTGTTAGGCAACAGATCTAGAGAAGCCATAGTTTACCTACTAGGTCATAAACCTAGTGACCCACAGGTTCCAATGTTCCTCTTCCTATCTGATAGAAAAATGATGCATGTATTTAAACCATTTAAGGAATGAAGTGTTTTCACTGATTTCCAAGGCAACAGATGATCAAATAAAATAGCCAATCAGACGTCTCGATTTCTTGTACTGGGTGTGGTGGTACATAACTATAATCCCAGCACTCAGGAGGATTGAGACAGGAGGATTGCAAGTTCAAGGCCAGTCTGGACTGACGACATGGTGAGACCCTGTCTCAAAAAGCATTTAAAAAAAGCCTAGATTTCTTTTTGGAGGTTAAAGTTTACTTTCATGGACATGACATCATTTCAGAAGTCTGGGTGGCCTCTCATGAATCCTTTGGTCAGGAGACCCTTCTGAATATTCCCCTAAGTGCCCAGGAGAATAACCGGCAATGTTGTGCAGGCTGACAGTTTAAGATTTAGTCATTAGGTTCCATGAATGGTTTTTACATGCAGAATGGGGCCGCTGGGCCACTGCTGCCAGGGAAAGGGACATTATCTCTTTCTGGGCGCATCCTTATTGTGAGCATGTGTGTTTAGGGCAAGGCTCTGTGGCACTCTATTTTACAAGAAGAAATGGGGCAAGGGCTGGAGACATTTTTCTGACACTGACTAAGCAGTGTCAGGTAGGAATATGTACCACATGTGTCTGCTGTGCCAGAGAGGTGCCAAGTTCACTGAAGTTCAGAGACCATCTTGATTGGCCACTGCCCCCTTCCCACTCTAACTCTTGAACATCTGATTTCAAAGTATCCCACATGTGGAATGGCTGCCTGGGTAGGTTGTGAGCTTCCTGTCCCTGGGGACATGCAAGCTAAGGTCCACAGGATTTCCTGCTGCAGGTGGGAGGCTGCATTTAATTCACTCTAAACAACTTCATCTAAAATTTTAGGCTTTTGGGGTCCCATTTAGTGATTTAATGTACTGAACTTTATATTCATTTCCCCTTTTCAAGGATCCCACACTGCCACTGTTTGAAGGAGATGACTTAAGGAGACTGGCCCAAGAGGTCACCAAGGCCAGAAGCTTCCTTAGGCAGGCCCAGATCTTCAGGTATGCCTATTGGCAGCCCCCACTTGCCCCTGGTCCAGCCACCCAGTCCTCAGGCCCCATCAAGGCAGGGCCTGCCCTTGGTCAGAACCCTTGCTCCACAAGCTCCTGCCTGCTTCTCCTGGGCCCCAGGGGAACCATCCTCCTTCACCTCCTGCCTACCAGGTCCCTACTCCAGAAGAAAAACAACATGGAACCAAAGGTGCCTCTTTGCTAGAAAAGTGTTCTCAGGTAAGGGCAAGGGATGGACTCCCACCTGTTGAGCTCCCACTAAGGACCCAGCCACATGTTCTGTTTTGTAGACAGTTGTACCCGTGGGGAAGGATCAAAAATTATGACTCCTCTGAGCAGGAAGGCCACTCCATGGAGAACCACTCATTGAGCACACTTTGGCCCAGAATGCAGCATGACAAAGAAAGCTGTGACCCACAGATCGTCCACGGGAAAAACTATTCCAGGCACCAGGGCAACCTGGAAGCTGTGAGAGGGCAGGCTATTCTTTGTGTACGGTGCCATCTCTGTGTCTACTCTCACTCCTGCCCTGTCCCCCAACACACTCTATGCTCCAGTCACAAGAATGTTGCTCTGGGAATCCCCCTACATAGAGTGCCTGCCTGTGACACCTGCTCATCCATCAAGGCACAGCTCAAATGAATCAACTCTACTATGAAGATGTCCCTGGGACCCCGCTACAGCAGGGAACCTCCAGGCATAGTTGAAGTTTCCTCTCGTAGCCTGAGCACTTCATGTCATGATTCCCTGCTTAATTATCTAAGACTTCCCCTTGATTGCAGCTCCCTCAGGAGGAGGCTGCTGTCCTTACCATCTCTGGGTTTCCAGAAGCTGCCACCTGGCAGGCAGTGGTAAACAGTGAGTGGCCAGCTGAGCAAAGGGGCCCAGCTCTGGAAACAAGGTGGATGAGGCTGTTTCTCCCTGGTTCCCCTATGCTTCCTATTGTACTGGTCCCAGGCCAGGGCAGAGTGTCAGTGTCCTAGGAGAAGAAGAAACAACCCAGTCTCATTGCCACCTCTACCCCTGCCAACCAAAATGAACCCAGTCCAGAGCAAATGGTCTGCTCAAGCCTGTGAACTTCAGGCTGCGTTTGTGGGCCCAGTCCCATTGTGAAATGGATGTGACACATGTTATGTCCTCTGGGGTCATTTTTCAAAATTAAAAATATTGCTTTTATTTCATTAAAAGGGTCAAAGTGACTTTAACTGCTGGAAGTGATCATTGGTGTGTGTGTGTGTGTGTGTGTGTGTGTGTGTGTATGTGTGTGTGTGTGTATAAAGTTTAGGTGAGATAAAACTTTATTAGAAGACTCATCCAGAATATAAAAACAACTTCAAAATAGTGTGAGAAAGATAAACATCCTTATTTTTAAAAATGGACAGAAGATTCAAACAAGAACAAATGGACAATAGGTATATGAAAAGGTGCACATGACAGCCTCACCTATCATGGAAATGCAAATTAAAACCATAATGAAATACAATGGCTAAAACCAAAAAAGCTGGTGATATCGAGATATGGAACAGTTAGAATGCTCATACTGCTGGGATAGGGGTGGAGTAGAATGTCAATTGGCTCAACAATTTTGGAAAACTAGAAATTTCTACTAAAGTAAAACATATGCCCAGGCTGTGACCCAGCAATTCTCTTAGAGAAATGAATGCATGTGCACAACATATGCAAGAATATTTATGGTAGCTCTAAGAGTCCCAAATTGGAAACTACCAAATGTCTATAATGGTAGAATGACAAATTGTGATACATTTGTACAGGAACAAACTACACATCAGTGGAAAGAGAATGGACTACAGCTATATTCAACAAGATGCAGTCATCTCATGAATAATGTTGGGCAAAAGAAACCAGATGCAAGGTACACACTGTAAAGTTCCATTGTTATGAAGTTCAAGTTCAGGCAAAAGTAATTATTGGAGACAGAAGTCTGAATAGTGATTACCCCATGTGTGAGGGTACAGAGGGGACATCTGGGGTGTGGAAATGTACTTACATAGGAATGTTGCTGTGGTTTGAAAATGGTCTGAATGTGTCCTCCAAGTGTTCATGTGTTGACATTTGATACCTTCATGGTGAGGTATTAGGAGAGTGGGAACTTGACCTGGTGTTTAGAGGTGAGGCCTATAGGAGGCGATTAGAATCAAGTAAGGTCATCAGGGCACAGCTCCCATGGTAGAATCCTGGTGGCTTTATAAGAAGAATGAGGACTGAGGATGTAGCTCAGTATATATATTTAAAAAAAAGCATCTTATTTGCCAGGTTCAGTGGCTCATGTATAATACCAGCTATTCTGGAGGCAGAGATTGGAAGGATTGTAGTTTGAGGCCAGCACAAACAAAAAGTTAGAGACCCTCATCTCAACCAAAAAGCCAGGCATGGTGGTGCATGCCTGTCATCCCAGGTATACAAGAGGCATAGATAGGAGGATCCGTGGTCAGAGGCTGGTCCCAGGAAAACATTACAGCCTACCTGAAAAATAGCTAAAGCAAAAAGGGCTGGGTATATGGCTCAAGAGGTAAAGTGCCTGCCCAGCAAGTGCAAGGCCCTGAGTTCAAACCTCAGTACCACAAAACAAAAGTTAGCAACAAAAGAGACCAAAAGATGCAAGCATACCATACTACCTCAGAACTACCAGCAAGAAGACTATCACTAGGTCTGGCCCCTTGGCCTTGTACCTCCAGAACTGTGAGCCAAAATAAATGTCTTTTTTTCCTAAAGTTACCCAGTATCAGGTTATAATAACAAAATCAGACTAAGCCAAGGTGGTGGTGCACACTTTTAATCCCAGCAACTCAGAAGGCTAAGGCAGAAGGATCACAGTTCTGGCCAGCCTGGGCTATATAACAAGACCTTGCCTCAAACAAAACAAAAACCACTCAACTTTCTAAAGCTTGACCAGTGCCTTCTTGACAGGCTCAAGTGGTAGAGTCCTTGCCTAGTAAGCTCAATGCCTGACTTCAAACTCTAGTACCACCAAAACCAAAATTGCCCAGTGGCTCACACCTATAATCCCAGCTACTTAGGAGGTAGAGACAGGAAGATCTCAGTTTGAGGAGAACCTAGGTCAAAAGTTAGTGAGAGCCTATCTCAAAGAACAAGCCAGAGGCTGGGCTTGGTGGCTCATGCCTTAATCTCACCTATTCAAAAGGATGGTGTTCAAAGTCAGCCAAGGCAAAAAGTTTGTGAGACTCTATCTCAACCAATAAGCTGGGTGTGGTGGTGTGCACCTGTCATCCAAGCTATGTGGGGGGGCATAAACAGGACTGTGGTCCAGGTTGACCTGGGCAAAAATGCAAGACCCTGTTAGAAAAGTAACTGCTGGGCACCAGTGGCTCATGCTTGTAATCCTAGCTACTCGGGAGGCAGAGATCAGGAGGATCACAGTTTGAAGCCAGCCCAGGTAAAGAGTTTGCCAGACCCTATCTCGAAAAAATCTATCACACACACAAAAAAAAGGACTGGTGGAGTGGCTCAAGGTGTAGATCCTGAGTTCAAACCCCAGTATACACACACACACAAAAAGTAATGCAAGGAAGGAAGAAAGAAAGAAAAAAGGAAAGAAGGAAGAAAAGAAAGATGAAAGGACATCAAAGCCAAGATTTGAACCCAGGGTTGACCCCTCTGCCTTAACCCACACGTTTGGAGACTCTTTGCTGAACCTATTTCCCTGTCTCTAAAATCAGGCTAAAATAATCACTAGGCATGAACAGGATGTCTTACCACTTGGCACATGACATGAGCAGGCTAAAATTCTGTTCTCTTCCCCACATCTATGCCCGTAGCACTTGTTCATATGGTGGAGTCTTTTCAGTGGCCCTCTTCAGACCAAAGTAGACAATGCTCCCTGCTCAGCCCCTATTGCTCCATTGTAGTAGTTGTGTGTGCTGTTGGGCACACGTCTGCCCCTCTGCTACTGCCACTTAAATATAACCTTTTCAGGGATGGGAGAGTCACCTGGATCCCCAGCTTAGGGGAAACAAACAACCCTTAAAAGTGGATTAGTGACTAGATGAACACAGAAGTGGGCAGAAAAATGCAAGAAAGGAAGGGTAGGTGCATGGGTGGAAGGAAGGAAGGAGATATGAGATGGACTGAATGAATGAACGTTTGGATAGTTGCAGGACAGGTGAATGGACAGTGAGCTGGATGGATAGGTGGAAGGATGCATGGATGAAGTTTGGATGGATACATGGAAGGTTGAGTGAAGAAAAGATGGATTGACATTTTTGACAACCTTCCAGGAATTCTCCAAAATGACAAACACAGAGAAAGAGGAGAAGTGCCTGATGTATTGTCTCTAGGCCTTTTAGAAAGTGTGGCGTTGGTGCTGGCCACATCTATGTGAATCTACAGGAAGGATGTTGTTGTAAAGCTTAGGGGATGGGTACTGACTGTTCAAAAAGGAATGGCTTCCAAATGTTATCATGGCCAAGGAAAGATAGTCTACAGTGTTGCCCAGCAGGCTGTTAGCATTGTTGAGAACAAACAAGGCCAAAGATTTTTTTGGGGGGTGAGTGAGGGGGTTAGGACTGAGGTTTGAACTCAGGGCTTCCCACTTACAAAGCAGGCACTCTACCGCTTGAGCCACATTTCCAGTCCATTTTCCTCTGGTTATTTTGGAGATGGGGCTTTTACTAACTATTTGCCCCGCCTAGCCTTGAACTATGATCCTTCTGATTCAGCCTCCCAAGTAGCTAGGATTACAGGTGTGAGTCACTGGAGCCCCACTAAGGGCAAGGTTCTTGCCAAGAGAATTAAGGTGCATATCGAGCATCCTAAGCACTCTAAGAGCCAAGATAGCTTCCTGACACTCCTGAAGAAAAATGACCAGAAAGTGAAAGGAACCTGAGTTCAACAGGAACCAGCCTGCTCCACAAAGCCCTCTTCGTGAGAACCAATGGAAAGGAGCTGAGGTGCTGGAACCCATTCCCTATGAGTTTTGTGTTTTTTTTAAGCTGTAGGCTCTAAAAAAAAGAAAATAAATAAAAAATAGGTTGGTGAACGGGTGGAAGTCTTAATGGACAGATACAAAGACGGATGGAATGACAATAAGAAAGAAGGCAAGAGAGAGAATAAACAAGGCCAAAATTTGAACCCAGAGTTGACTCTCTTGCCTTTGCCCACTGTGTGTTGAGCCTCTTTGCTGAGTCTATTTCCCTGTCTCTAAAATAAGGCTTTAAAAAAATCAGACTAGCCAGGCTCTGGTGGCTCACTCCTGTAACCCTAATTACTGAGGAGGCAGAGATCAGGAGGATCACGGGTCGAAGCCAGCCCAGGCAAATAGTTTCGAGAAACCCTACCGCGGGAAAAAAAAAAAAAAAAAAAAAAAAAAAAACCATCACAAAAAAGAGCTGGTGGTGTGCCTCAAGGGGTAGACCCTGAGTTCAAACCCCAGTACCGCAAAAAATCAGGCTAAAAAAAATCGGTGGATAGGCAAGTGGACTGACAAAAAGATTGGTAAAAAATGAGTGGAAGGATGGCTGAATGGATAAAGACATGGCTGGAAGAATAGATGGAATGATGACTAGAAGGAAGAGGGGAAACAGGAAAGGAGCGAAAAGGAGGGCAGAACAAAAGCACAGGTGAGAGAATGGATGGCGGGTGGGTAGGTGGAGGAAGAAGCACCGTTCCTGGGTCTTTGGGAGGACTGCGCAGGCAGGACAGAGCCTTTCATCCTCCCCGCACCAGAAGCGCGGCCCATTGCATTCCACCTCCTAAGGACTATGAGAGGCTGCGGGCTCCACCTCCATGGCGCAGGTATTCGGAACGGGCGGGGCGGAGAGGAGGCGGGGCCGGAGCAGGGAGGAGGCGGGGCCGGAACAGGGGGCGGTCCTTGCTCCTGGCCCCGCCCCGTCCCGAGCTGGCGCTGCTCCGGCGGTGCCCGCCTTGGCGCGGAGACCCGCTCAGAGCAAGCAGCACGCTGCGCCGCGGGAGCCCGGGCCAGGTGAGCGCAGGCCCAGGGATGCGGTGCGGGCTGGGGAAGAGGGCCAGGGAAAACTTAAGGAAGGGGACTCGCGCGCCAGCTGGCCGGGCCTGGCTGCCCTTGGCTGTGGGGGGCACGCGCTTCTTTCTGCCACCAGGCAGCCGACGCGCCCCGGGGCGATCCCTCGTACTCCCTAACCGTTCACCACTTCCTTTCACCAAATCCCAGCATGGATTCGAATTCGAACATAGCCATTTACTGTAACACCGTCCCAATTCTCAAATGTTCTCTGGGCCTCAGTTTCCACCTCTGGATGATGGAACAGTGACGTCCACATTCCTGGGGCTGCCAAGAGAATGAAATGCAGCCACCAGGGTCAACCCTGCACTTGGCCAGAGCACTCCCTGACATGGAACAGGCTCGAGTGGCTCCATTCATTCAGCAGCTCTGTGTTGGCCGCCTACTGTGTGCCAGGCACAGTTCTGGGTAGGGGGAACACCACAGCACCGCTTGTATTCTAATGGTTTGCAAAGTGCTTTGTCATTTTTTTCTCTCTAGACCACACAGGGTGCTGTGAGGTAGCCCCAAAAGCCAGGGTTATTTGGGCCCATTTTACAGCTGCTGATACTGAGGTGCAGTGAGGTTTTTTGGGATTTTGCCCAAGGGCACACCCAGCAAATGGGTAGCCAAGGCTGGGTCCCAGCCTGTGCCACAATAAACATCTCCTCAGGGTAGGAGGGCAGCTCTGGTCCCAAAGACCAAAATAAAGTTCTTTGGGCCTTGGTAGAAAAAAAAAAAAAAAGTTCTTTGGCCTCCCCACCCTTCCATGGGGAAATTAGGCTCATCTTCTGTAAAGACTTGGGTATATATTCCCACCCCCATTAAGCTGGTGAGTATTTGTGCTTGCACAAGGCAAGACTATATTCTTCTCCCAGAACTTTGGCAAGCAGGGCAGTGACAGGAGACTTAACAATACTGTCAGAGTCCCTGCCCTATAGCCACTCCCAGCACAATGACAGAGCTTGTCAGTCATTCAACAAACACCTGCACTTTTGTGTAGCCAATATGTGCCATGCAGGGCAGAGACTTACATATCTGTGACCTTCTGCTTGACCTCTGTGAGATCCCGTGCACAGTAGGCCTGCCTTATAATGATGATGACCTGGCCCTTGACCAACCTCATCCTCAGGTGGAATGAGTTGGAGGCCATGATGGTGACAGTGACTGACAGCTACTACAGTGATGACTCTCAAGTTCTAGAGTGAGGAGAATGGGATTTTCAGTACTGAATTCCTGGGGCTCATCGACCTGATCCTGAAGTCTGGAAGTGGTTTTTGCAGACCGTATGGTGTTAGCCACTTGCTCTCCTGGGTGGTCTGGGAGAGGAAGAGGCAGCAGGTGTCAGACTGGGGCAGGTGTAGATGTTGGAATCAAGTACAAGTTTCTAGGGTGCTGAGCCCTTTTGGGTCCCATGTAATTCTTCTCCTCCTCCTGTTCTCTCTCCTCTTTTCCCTCCTCTCCAGGAAGCCCTCTCACCTTCCTAGTCAGAAAGCACTCACCTCCCAACTGGTGAGGCTCCTCTTAGATATGGATCCCTCCGTACTACATGGAACTGGGCTTGGGAAATCAGAAACGCCAAGCAAATCTCAGTCTTGCATGACTGGGCCCCAGCCTCCCCGGCTATAAAGTCCAAAACTTGACTGCCTTCTCTGACTCCCTGTGGGATCTGCAACCACCTGGAAGTTTGGGGGGGCTCTAAAAGGGCCAGGTTCCCTGGGCGCTCAGAGGGTCTCTGATTTCCATCTGGAGATCCTCTCAGTCCTGGGGATCTGCTGATCTGTGTGACCTTAGACAACTCTGGAAGGTTCTCTTCTGTTTTTCTCCACAGGTGGACAGCTTCTGGGCTGTATGGCTCTGTAGAAGATGAAGCCCAAACCCTCAGGCTCCTCACCAGAGCCCTGCAGAGCGGCAGGCCAGGGCGAAAAGAGCTGCCCTGTCTGCCAGGCCTGCGGAGGGGTCTCAAGTCCAGGATCTGGTTTAGGGTCTGGGTCAGGGCTTGGTCTGGGACCTGCTGCTGTTTTAGGGCCTGGTGCTATTCTAGTACCAGGGCCAGGACCCAGTGTTTTTCCAGGGTCTGGGCCAGGGCCTAGTGCTGTTTCAGGGCCTGGTGCTACTCTGGGACCTGAGCCAGGAGCTAGGACAGTACCTGGGCCAGGAGCTGAGGTGGGACCTGTGTCAGTACCTGGGTTGGGACCTGGGCCAGGAGCTGGGTCAGCATCTGGACTAGGAGCTGGGTCAGTACCTAGATCAGGAGCTAGATCAGGATCTGGGCCAGAAGCTAAGTCAGTACTTGGGTTGGGAACTGGGTCAGTACCTGGGTCAGGAGCTGGGTCAGTACATGCACCAGAATCTGGGTCGGGACCTGGGTCAATACCTAGACCAGGAGCTGGATCAGGACCTGGTCCAGAAGCTAGGTCAGTACCTATGTCAGAAGCTGAGTCAGTATCTGGACCAGAAGCTGGACTGGGACCTGGGTCAAGAGCTGCTCCGTTACCTGGGCCTGGGCACAAACTCCGTGAATCAGCCACAACCACAGCACCAGTTCTGCAGCAGAAGACTCAAGCCAGACATGCACAGGCTCCCAGACAGAAGGTTCTGGTGACAGGAGGAGGCGGCTACCTTGGCTTTAGCCTGGGCTCCAGCCTGGCCAAGAGCGGCACTTCTGTCATCTTGCTTGACCTCCGCAGACCCCAGTGGGAACTACCCCCTGGAACTGAGTTCATCCAGGTGCAGGAACGGGGTCCTGGGGACTGGTAGTGGTGGTGGTCAAGGGCCAGGTCCAGCATGAAACCAGTGACAAAGCCAGCCTCAACTCCAGCTCTAGTTCCCATTCTTCTCAGCTGGACAGCCATGGTCACAAGTTCCTACCTCTCTGAGCCTCAGGGTCTTCATCCACAAAACAACAGCAAAAGACAAAGATCCACTAAAACCCACTAAGGGTCTGATGGGAAAATGATGTGAAAGTATATGTGAAGCACCCAGCCCAGCCCTGAATCCTAGAGTGCTGGATGAGTGGGGACAGACAACCACAATGACACCCCTCAGAGTCAATATATAGTAAATCCTGGCCATGTAGGTGTTTGGCCTGGGCCAGTGAAGGGCTGGCTTTGGGGCCCAGCACGAGCTGGTGTGTCAGTGTGCCTTCGACTTGAACCTCCTGCCTCAGCTCCATCTTCTCTGTTCCAGGCTGATGTCCGAGATGAAGAAGCCCTGTACCGCACCTTCGATGGGGTGGGCTGTGTCTTTCACGTGGCCTCCTATGGGATGTCCGGGGTTGAGAAGGTAAGGCCCTTACATATGCACCTAGAGTTAGAGTGGGGTTTGAATTCTTGCTCTGCCAACCACGTGGGGGAGGGGGCTTGGGGACTATTTAACTATATCTTGTATCTACACAAGGAAATTGTTCAAAAGAATGAAGTGACTTCATACGTTGATAACAGAACAATCTCCAAAGTTCAAAATAGTGTTTGGTATCCTCCTCTTTGCTTTAAAAAATGCTAGGATAAGTATTTAAATACTCACATAAGCTTCTATGCCAAAGTTAACAGATTAATATAACTATCTCTACAAACACACAAAACTGTTAGCAGTAGTTGCCTCTGGGGAGGGAAAAGGAAGACTTAGAATCAGGAGTGGGAGGGAACTTTCCTTTTACTACACACACTTTTTGCTGTCTGAATTATTCTTAACCTTGTTGGTATATTACCTATTAAACAAAAACCACCTAGACTGGGTGTGGTAACACACACCTGTCATCCTAGTCATTAGGAGACAGAGGTAGGAAGATCTCAGTTTGAGGCTGGCCCAGGCAAAAACCTCAAGACACTACCTGAAAAATAAACTAAAGCAAAAAGGTGTGGGTGGGTGGCTTAAGTGGTAGAGCAAGGCTCTGAGTTCAAACTCCAGAACCACCAAAAAAAAAAAAAAAGAAAGAAAAAAACCCTCAACAGTTTAGTATTCACCTCTTAGTGGTGATGTGAGAATTAAGTGAGATGCCTGTTCCACAGACCAGTTCTGTTTTTCATACCCCAGCATGGCCAGTTTGACAGAGTTCATCTCTCAGACAAAAAAACAGACATGTTTTGTGTGCCCCCCACCCTTCTGTGCCATGTCCTGAACTAAGATCCCCCACCACCACCATCCTCCCACCTAAATATCTTTAAATAAGAACCCTGCTGACATCTAAGAGGTCAGCCTCACTTTATACATGAGAGAGCTGAGGGCCCAGCCTCTGGCCTCAGTGACAAGGCAGGAGGCAGCACCATGACTTCCCACCCCTGTCTTGTCTTTTAGCTGCAAAAAGAGCAGATTGAGTCTATAAATGTTGGAGGCACCAAACTAGTGATCAATGGTAGGCTCTCAGAGTGGAGTGTGGTCTGCTGTGTGTTTCCTCTTCCTCCCCGCTGTCCTGCCACAGGTCCAGCTCCTGGGGGGCAGGGCTGGGGCATAGAGATGGGACCCTCTTGTCTTACCCTGCCTGCCCCAGCCAAGGGTCTGTGGGTCCTGTACCCTTTCTCTGTGCATATCTGTCTGGGGCCCTGCACAGGAGCTTCAGGGCCTCAGGGTGTCTGGGAGCACAGGGAGCAGAGGGGGCACTTGGGACCAGGAGATATGGGGCAGTAAGAAAAGTCATTGAAGCACCAAATAGAAAACACACATCTGGGGCCTCTGAGTCTGTTCAGCCTTGTCCTGCATCTGTGTTTCTCTGATTCTAGAGTGTCTTTTTTCTCTGTCCCCACGGAGTGAGACTTTCTTCTGACTTGTCCCTGGCAGGGTAGCTCAGGACAAAGGCCACACTAGGAGGAAGAATGAGCAGACCTAGTCCCCAGGGCTCACAGAGCAGGGGGCCTACCCAAACCCCAAGTGAAGGGGAGGAGACCCTTTCCTCCATAGCAGCTCTGAATTCTGGGAGGGCCCTGGAGTCAGGGTGTGTGTTGAAGACTGGGTAGAGAATGTGGTTTGTCCAAGGAGGTCCTCTCAGCTGATGCCTTGCTCACACCATCTGTCTGTGTCCGTGCATATGTGCACTTGTCGCTGCAGTCTGTGTCCGCCGGCGGGTTCCAAGGCTCGTCTACACCAGCACCGTGAATGTGGCATTTGGCGGGAAGCCCATAGAGCAGGGCGATGAGGATTCTGTGCCATACCTGCCCCTGGACAAGGTACCCAGCTTCCAGGAGAAGTGGGTGGGTCCAGAGAGCTTGGGACCAATAGCCCAAAGGGCAGGGGTGGGTGAAACCAGGGTCCACCTCACACCTCAGGGTCCATCAGGAAGGGTCCCCAAGCTGGATGGCATGAACCTGCTTCTGATTTAGCTTTCCATGCCCACAGGGGGCTTTGAAATCAGACAGACCTGGCCTTGAGCCTTCAGCCTGGTCTCTTTCCACCTGTGACCATAAGCAAGTCATTTCACACTGTCAGACTCTATTTCTTCATATAGGCAAGACAACACCATCAAGGGGAGTTGTGGAGAGCAGGAAATGAGACAATGGTTGTGAAAACACCATGGGAACACTAAAGAATGACATGAGTAGCTTGTCCAATGCATGTCTGCAAGTCCAGCATCAGTGTTGCAGGGCAGGCACTGGGGGCTGACAGACACCTGAATCAAGGTGCCATGTTTGACTTACAGCTCTGAGTCCAGTGCTCCTTTGTCTCTGTGACTCTGGAAGGTGACATACTGTCCTCTCCCAGGGGAGGGCAAGGGCCATGGCATTCATGGCTTGGTCACATCCCAGCAAGAGTCCCCTGAATCCACACCTGCATGATCAGACAGGAAGGTGCAGCACTGGGCCAGGCTGGGCTGGGCAGGCGCTGCCAACAGCACTGCTGACCTGTCTGGTGGCTCTGTTCCCCCTGTCCTCCGGCAGCACATGGACCACTATTCCCGAACCAAAGCCATCGCTGACCAGTTGACCCTAATGGCCAATGGGACACCTCTCCCTGGTGAGTAAGTACCATGTCTGCTCACGACAAATGTGTCTGCCTACTGCTGCCTCCTCAAAATATATGTGTGATTGTGGCTCTTAGCAACAATGACACACTTCTGAGACCCAGTGTCCTTCCAAGGTACAGCCCCTAAAGACTTGGTTTTTCATCACTCAAAGCGCTCTGAGCACCTGCTGGGTGTCTCACCACCAGGGATGCAGCCCAGATAGGGTCAGGCCCAGCCTCTGCCCTCACATTGCTCAAGATCTGGTGAGGAAGAGATATGGGCTAACCTAGCTCTTTTCTGCGTCATGGGAGTGGGTCCAGTTTCAGGGGCTCTCTCCAGATAAAAGAGTACAACATTTTATATGAAATGAGCTATAGCTCTTAAAAAGGGTTGTGCAAGTGAGGGACCTTAACCTCCAATAACTGTCCAAAAAAATCTGCCTCAAGTTCCTAGCTGCATGATCTCTTCTGATTATAGAGAAGTAACAATAGAATATAAACAGTTCACACTGATTGAGTGCTTACTACATGACAGGCCATGTTTGCATATTAATTTCATATGTAAGAGGTTCATTCACTGTCTGAAACATCCTGTAAGGAAGTCCTTGGCCTTACAAACTCAGGAGCCAAATCTATTCAGATAAATTGTTTACCATCCAAATTATCACTACTTGTTTTCTGAAATGCAGAAACTAAAAAGAATCAGACAGCTTATCTTCCCTTTATTATCAGTGCTATCTAATTTTGGGAGCTAAGTAGATTTGGAGACCAAAGGATGCTTGAAATTATAATCCCCAACTTACAGGTGAGAAAATCCAGACTGATTAACCAGCTTCATTCAAGGTCATGCAGCAAATAGCTGGTAGAGGTGGGACTTGAACTTGACGGCACTATTAGCACCAGAGCCTGGGACCTAACCACTGTGCTGTGCCATAGGCGCAGGGGAGCAGGTTCTGGAGTATGGGCACTTTTCCCTAAGATGTCCCTGACCCCCATCACCCTGGGCTCCCTAGCCATGATTCCTGGTCCCAGTGGGAACATCCAGCTGTATTTTCCCAGGGATTTGACCCAGTGGAGTTGAATTCCTTCTCTCCTGAGGCCTCCCCTATCCAGGCCAGACCACAGCCTGCATGCTAGACACCTAATCCTCTGGCTGAGAATTATTCATACAAGCATCTCCTGCTTTCCATGGTCCTGAGAGTCATGGATACCCTAGGCCAGGCCCTCTGTGATGCTGGCCACTGCCAACTGCAACCCGATCTTCCTCCACCATGCCCTGGGGACCCAAGGTTTAAACTTAGCTATGGCTGTTTACAGAAAAGCTCACCTGATACCTGCCTCCCAGGAGTCCAGTCATGGTCACCGGAGGTGATTTCCACACCCTGATACCCAGGCTGTCCCTGAGACTGTTCTTCTCACTTGGCACAGAGGGCCCTGGTCTAGGTAGCAGATTCCTGAGGTGTGTGGGTTACAGCTCACTGACTGAGTGCTGTGTCCTCCTGGCTCTGTGTGTGTTACTGTCCTATGGCTCCCACATAATTGGTTGTTTGAAACAATGGAGAGGTACTGGGGATGTGGCTCAAGCAATAGAGCATCTCCTAGCAAGCATGAAGCCTTAAGTTCAAACCCCAGTATGGCGAATCAAATAAATAAGCCAGAACATTCTCTTGTCATTTGGAATCTGGGACCTGAAATTGAGGTACCCCTTGGACCAAACTCTGTCTTTGGGCCTGGGGAGCCCCTCCTTGTCTTTCAGCTTTGGTGGCCCCAGGCGTTCCTTGGCTTATAGCTACAAAACTCCATCCCCTAGCCCCATTCTCTGTGGGTCTCCTTAAGAGGACTTGTCATTGGATTTGGGACCCAGCTGAATAATCCAGGATGATCTCATCTCAAGCTCTTAACTACAACTATGAAAACCCTTTTCCCAAGTAACATCACAGGGCTAGGGACGTAGCTCAGTGGTACAACACTTGCCAAATAACATCATGATATACAGATTCTGGAGTGCAGACATACCTCTTCAGAGGCTACCATGTCACCCACTACCCTGGGCCTTGTATATCCCTCAGGCTATCATAGGATGCAGCAGTTGGGGTGTTTGGTTATAACACAGAGATGCCAGCCCTGGCTCATTTGTGGGGGAATGGGAACTTACATTGGAAGGATGTGACATAGACTCTATAAAACAGATTTCCAGAAAAATGACCACCAAGCTTGGAAAGGACAGGGTCAGGGCAGCCCTGGGGACCTAGGTGACAAGAGCTGATAATCAGTGTCTTCAGGGTGGGTCCTTTTCTCGGATTTTGGGTCTTGGTGTCAGTGATGCTGAGAGCTACTCTCAGGTGAGAACATCACACGGCCACCATCTAGACAGACAGTTCCCAAGACCTCTGCAGAGGGGAGGGGTCCCCAAAGGAAGGCAGGCTGATGGTGGCAGAGGGTCTGCATTGGACTCAGACTGGATAAGGATGGGAAGGTACTCCCTCTCCCTGCTGGGCTGCTCCTCCATAAGCTGCTGACCACCTCCCCTTTGTCTAGGAGGAGGAATTCTTCGGACCTGTGTGCTGAGGCCCCCAGGGATCTATGGCCCTGAAGAGCAGAGGCACCTGCCCCGAGTGGCGGTATGTCACCCCAGCCTTCTGGAACCAGGGCAGAGGGGGCCAGGCCCATGTGCATGTCACCACATTGATCTGGAAGCAGAATGGCTCCACTTGGGACCCTCAGTTCTGGGAGACACACCTACCCCAGATGTCCTTTGCCCTCAGGCCTAGGTTCTGGTGGGGGAGACAGAACCAGGACCCCAAAGAGACTCTCATGTGGGCTCCCTGACTCTCATGTGAGCTGGGTGGATCATCTCATGCAAGAGTCTTCATGCTGAAAACCTGTCTCTAGAAAAAGCTGGGTGACGGGAATATGGGCCTGTCCACATAGCCTAGTAAGGGAGATAGACATCATGTCGGTAGTGAGAGCCATGTAGAGGTACATATGAGGAAAGGCCTGGCAGGAGAGGCCCAGGAGGACTTTCTGGAGGCAGTGATGCCTGTGCTTAGAAGGGGAAAAAGGGATTCATTGAGAACTGGGGTGGCAGAAAGAAGGTAGGTCAAGTATAGAAGGCAACTTGGGCACAAATCTAAAACAGTCAGTGTAGGAAGCAGCAAGAGGTCCCTGCGACTGAATCTGATCAGAAGGGCAAGGTTATGGGAGCTATAGAAGTTACCAGGAGCGAGACTCCCCTCTGCAGTTTCAACATTCCTCTGTTGGGGTTCTCAGGGATGTATTAGTTTGCTGTGACAAAATATCTGATATAGACAACTTAAAGGGAGAGAGGAATTTTATATATATATATATATATATATATATATATATATATATATATATACATACTTATGTATAGGTATAATTCACAGTCAGAGTTTCAGTTCATCAGGGTGGGAAGGCTGTGGTGGAGCAGAACTGTTCAGCTCAGGACAGCTGGAAAGCAGGGTACAGCAGCTCACATCGCGGTGAACAGGAAACAGCGGAGTTGTAACAGGAAGAGGCAAGAGTAAGATGTAGCTCCCAAGCACAAACCCTGTCACCTACTTGTTCCAGCCAGGCAAGAAGTTTCACTGCCTCCTGATAATCTATTTAAAATTTGAATCTCTCAATGGATTAAATCAATCACTTGGTCAGAACCCTCATGATCTTCTCTCTTAAGGAACTGTCCTCACAGATATCCCCAGATGGGCGCTTCTCAAGCCAATCAGGTGGATACTCATGACATCATCGCAGGGGATCCTGGGCCAACTCCAGTGACTCTTCCCAGTCATTCATTTATTCGTCCAACAAATTCTTACTGAATTCCTACTATGTGCCCAGTACTGTTCTAGTTAAGACAGGTCTATGAACAAAGCAGTCAATTTATTTCCTTGGGCCTGAGGAGACCTGTTACATTCTAAATATGTTGGAAGGTGCCAGGCACTGTGCAGAAAAAGAAAAAGTGGAGTAGGGTGAGAGAATTGGGCTTGCCAAGGAGTCAGGGAAACCCCCTGGAAAAAGTGACATTTTGAGCATCCAAGGTGGGAGGTGGCCCAGCTCATCACAGGAGCGCTTGGAGGAAGAGCCTTCCAGGCAGGGGGTGGTTCTTCCAAAGCCCTGAAATTGTCCCTGAACAGTGAGGTGGCTATGTGGCCATGGCAGAGCCAGAGAGGTGTGTCAGTCAGAGACTAAGTCACAGAGTAGCCAGGGCCAGATCAGGGTGGGTTTGCAGACCACTGTCAAGACTTCAGCTTTCAACATGCCAGCATGGGCGCCCCTGGACCGTTCTGAGCCAGGGAGAGACATGGTCCCATTCAAGAATAAAGGGATCCCCCCTAACTGTGCAGGGGTCTGACTATAGGGGTATATAGGATGAGGCGGAAGGAAGCTGCTGTGAGGTCTAGGGGAGCAGTGAGGGTGGCCATTGAGAGGTGAGGAGTGGTCCAGTTCTACACAGGTTTGAGGAGTTAGACCAGCTGGAAGTGTGGGTGGGCTGGGTGTGGAGTGAGGGAGGAGGACACGTCAAAGTTGGCTCTGTCTCATCTGTTAGACAACCAGGAGGAGAGGTGGGGAGGGCATGTGACACCAGAGTTGGGCCAAGGGGTCTGGCCTGGAGCTGGACGTGAGGGAGCTGTGAGCATGTAAATGGAGTGGAAAGCCACCCAGGCTTGAGCTCTTGTTTGTCATCCTCTCCGCTACACTAGAGCCACATCAAGAGGAGGCTGTTGATGTTCCGATTTGGGGACCGCAGGACGAGGATGAACTGGGTCCATGTGTGCAATCTGGTGCAGGCACATGTGCTGGCAGCTGAGGCCCTTACTGCAGCCAAGGGCTATGTGGCTGTGAGTGTCCTGTGACGCCCCCCATCACCACGGCAGGGGGCCTATCCCTAGGGGAGTCCCAGGAACACTGGGGTGGGGGTGGCATCCTTATAGCATATCATTAGCTCTTCACAGTGACCCTGTGAGGTTAGTGTTGATTCCAAGATAACACTAAGCATTTCACACATATTGTCACATTTAATCTTCACAACAGCCCACAAGGGATAGTCCATTGTTCTCCCATTACTTAGATGAAGAAACTTGAAACTGAGAGTTTGGGTGGCTGCATGGGACCACACAACCTGTCAGTGTGGTGGCCCCAGAATGCACAAGAAATGACCCAGGTCTCTTCCCATGCCTGGGAGCTACAGCAGCTGCTGGGTGCCATCAGAAAAATGATGTCTGACTGTCCCCTCTCCTTCATGTCCCCCTCAGAGTGGGCAGGCGTACTACATCAATGACGGGGAGAACGTCAACGTCTTTGAGTGGATGGCTCCACTGGTAGGTTTACAGACATCACCCTTCCTGGAGCAAGAATCCCATCTTCTCTCCCTCTCATCCTCTCCTACTTCCAAAAAATTGGAAGGTGTCACACTACACATCAGCTCAGGCCACAGTGTCCCTGAAACTGGCTGGAGCTGAGTTGTGGCTACCCCTTAAGGAGACTATGTGCTCCCCCAGTTCATCACAGCCCCCTTCCAACCTGCTTCCTGTTTTACATTGGCTTCTAGCCTTGTGGGTGTTTTGTTCTGTTTTTGTTTTTGTGGTGGTGGGGATTGAACAAAGGGCCTTGCACATGCTAGGCAAGCACTGTATCACTGAGCTGTGGGGTTTTGTTGCAATCTGCCATCCTATGTGTGGAAACTCTAAAGCAGGAACTGCTTCAGTTACTGAAATAAAAAAGGAGGGTCCGCCTCTGGGGCTCTTCTCAGCAACCCTTGGAGTCCTCCTGGGGGACAGCAGAACCCTGGGCCAGAGGCCAAGAAGGGCCTGTCTTCTTAACTCTTAAACCCGATACAGGCTTTGGTTTGTTTGTTTATATAACAGCTTCTTCATTGATTCAACTACTTAAGGGATACAATTCAATGGTTTTCAGTATTAGAGTTGTGCATCACAATAATTAATTTTAAAACAGTTTACCATCCTTAGGAAAACAAAACAAACCTGTACCCATTAACGGTCACTGTCTTACCCCACCCACCCACCCCCAGCCCCAGGTCACTACAAAGCTCCTGTCTCTATCAGTTTGTTCATGGACATTTCATATAAGTGGACTCAATTTGTGACCTTTTGTGTCTAGCTTCTTCTTTCCCTTAATCTAAAGGTTGATCTATGTTGTGACATGTACCATGTCAGGACTTCATTCCTTTTCATCTCCACAAATACCCCATTCTATGGATATACCACATGCTGTCTTACCCATCCATTAGTTGATGGAAATTTGGGGTTCTCTACTTCTAAGCTAATATGAAGAGTACCATTAGGAACATTCATGTACAAACATTTTTGTGTGGACACATTTTCAGTTCTTTTGGGTCTATACCTAGAAGTGGAAAGAAACTCTATGTTTACCTTTTTTTTTTTGTTGATTAGAGAAACTGCCAGACTGCTTTCTGAAGTGGCTGTGCTATTTTGCAGCGTAAGAGGGTTCCAACTTCTCTACATCCTGCCAGCCCTTGTTACAGTCTTTCTTTTTGATGGGAAGAGTTTTTTATGCAAGTGGGGAGATCCATTCATTTTGTGCCAGCCTGTTTCTGTGCATGTCCTCCCGCCTTCCACACACTTGTTTTGTTTTCTTCAATAGCAGAAAAACTCAATTCTAGGGCTAGAGGCAGGATTCAAATTCCCTGTAATGCCTGGAGCATCTTTAGGTGAAGACAGGTGTAATAGCTAAGTAATATGTTTAAGCCCAGGTTAGCGAACCACCCTATACATTCCATTTCTGCTTGAGTTGTCCAGACCAAGGAGTGGATTTCATTTCAAGACTGGTGCAGAGGGCTGGCAGAGTAGCTCTCTTACAGCTCAAGCTGTAAGAGCACCTGCTTAGCAAGTGTGAGGCCCTGAGTTCAAACCCCAGTGCCGCCAAAAAAAAATCCAAATAACAGCAAAGACATGCCATGGAAGTCAGGTGCTGATGGCTCACAACTGTAAGCCTGGCTACTCAGAAGGCAGAGATCAGGAGGATTGAGGTTTCAAGCCAGCACAGGCAAATAGTTCAAGAGACCCTATCTTGAAAAAACCATCACACCAAATGACTGGTGGAATGGTTCAAGGTTCAGGCCCTGAGTTCAAGCCCCACTACAGCAAAAGAGAGAGAGAGAGAGATTGGTGCAGGCTGGGGCTGGCTCAGGCTCTGCCCCAGTCCACTAGTGGGTGGGGATCCTCTGCTGTCCCGGGGTAGAGGGAGCAGATGGCTTTCCACACCAGCCCCAGAACAACTTGTTCTCATCTCAGGCCATGTTCTTTTGCAGTTTGAGAAGCTGGGGTACAGTCAGCCTTGGATCCAAGTGCCCACCTCCTTGGTTTACCTGACAGGTAAGGAAAGTCACTGGTGTATTAAAGCCCTCCTTTTACCAGCTCTGTGTGTGCATATGGACTTTACCTTGTTTGAAACACAGGGCTGGGACCAGGATGAGGTTAGGGAGGCACTGAGGGAGGGCCCAGAATTTAAATAGGCTGTGCAGGTACGCCAAGCCTAATCCTGCACGTGGATGAGCCTCTAAATTTATCATTGTTGGCTGGAGGTGTAGCTTAGTGTATACAACCTGGGTTGGATCTCCAGCACCAAAAAAAAAAAGAAAAGAAGGTGCCTTGCTCCCTTCACCACAGTCCTGGTTCTGTTTTTGAATCCTAACCCTTTTACAAGGCCCACATGATTGGGCCCGTTGCAAAGATTATCAGGCTAAGGCTCTGAGAAAAGGTGGGAGACATACCATTCCCACCTGGGCCTGTGCTGGAAGCCATCTTGCCAGGTAGAGGCAGGTGGAGACTTGGGGCTGTCCCCTTCCCCAAGGGCACCCTAATGTTAAGACTGTTTAACATCAGTCGTAACATGGAGGTTCCATTTCTACACTAGATTCTCCTCCTCACCCTGTAGAGTCAGTCTCTGTTTCCAACCCCACCCTGACATTGTGTCTGGCTGCTGTCCTCCACCCGCCTAGCCCTGCACCCCTCTGCTGGTCTCCTTCCATCTCTGAAATGCAGATCAAAAAGTAGCAGGCCAGCCCATGGGGACAGATGGCTCTCAAGTCACAAAGGGCTGTGTTCCTGGCACACCTTTGGCTAGATCTCTACTTTCAATGCATTGGGATGCTTGCAGTAAAAAAAAAAAAAGAATTTGCAGGAACTCTTCACTCAAGCGTCCCTGCAGGGCGACTTTCCACGCACAGCATTGACTCACCTTCACCTGCAGGTGGTAGCAGTTTGGGAGGATTGTATATAAATACCCAGTTCCCAGCGAACTGGCTCTGTAACTCAGTGCTTCTTCACCCTGGCCACCCGCTAGAATCACCTGAAAATAGAACGACTGCCTCAGCCACACCCCGGGCCAATAACATCAGCAGGAGGGAGATGTCGGGGAGCCAGCAGTGTTTCTTAAAGTGGCCCAGTGTGCAGCCAGAGTGAGAAGCGCTGCTCCAACCTCCTCTCTCTCCTACCCAAGACAGTCTAGTAAACTAGGAAAGGGAAACACGGATACTGGAGTTTTCTCAGATTTATTTAAAAGCTTCAAGTCACTCAAGACATATTTCTCAGCTAACAAGGCACCCCGGCGCGTGCTGCTGATTGAAAGGAATCCAGTGACTTTTGCAAAGGGACCCCAAGCAAAGCAAATAATGCCCCCAACTGATTTGCCTCCTAGGCCCTCCCCGCAGTTTGCGTAAAGCCAGGCCGACTCCTTCTCGCCCCCAAGTCACTGGCCCCGCCTCCTCACTGGTCCCTCCCCTCCGGCTCGCCTCCCCCTATCTTCTCCCCCTCTCTCCAGACCCTTTCCCCGCCACTCTTCACCAGCTCCACCCTCATTGGCTTCTCGCCTCACCGCAACCCCCTCCCTTTCTCACAAGCCCCTCCCCTTTCGTCACCGGCCCCACCCTCGCAGGCTCCTCCCCGGTCCCGACCCCCCTCCTCTTCTCATCGGCCCCTCCCTTCCTCACGGCCCCACCTGCATTTGTCCCCTATCCTCACTGGCCCTCCCCCTCACCGGTTCCTGTCCTTCCCCACCTCCTTTCCCTTTCCTCTCACTGGTCCCGCCCCCCTCCTCCCGACCCTTCCTCCCCACCGGTTCCCCCCACACCTGTCCCTCATCCGTCCTCTCTCCTCACAGGCCCACTGCCCTCACGGTCCCTCCCCACGTCGGTTCCCCCTACACTAGCCTCTTCCCCTCGCCTCCTCATCGGGCCCTCCCCCCTCACTGCATCCCCACCAGTTTAGCCCCACACTCCCTCCCCGCTCGCCGCCCCCGCCTCCCCAGGTCTCTCTCCCAACGGGTTCACTCCGACTGATCACCCCTGCTTACTGTCCCCCTTTCCCTAGGGCCCTCCCCCAAGCCCCTCCCCTTCCAAGGCTCCGCCCCCTCGCGGCCCCTCCCCCCTCGCTGGTCCCTGGAACCTCTCCCCTCACCCACCCCTCTTCCGCAGCGGTGGTGATGGAGTATCTGCATCTGGCTCTGAGGCCCGTCTGCAGCGTCCAGCCACTGCTCACCCGCAGCGAGGTAAGTGGGCTGCTGCCAGGGGAGTACCGCCCTACACCTTCCTCCCCTTCTCCAAACCCCCTTTGCCGCTTCACTTTTGACTCCATGGCTGCACACTTGTCTTGGGTCTCTGAACCTTCCATGAAGGCCCAAATCTGGTGCTGACACCGTTATAATCCTCCCCACCCCTGGACTTTTGCTTGGACTGTGCCGCCTTCTTGGTCTGAAATGTGACAGCGCCAAGCTCACCTCTCTTCACTGTTGTTTAATCCACGCGCTGCTTATATTTCTATCATGGACGGAGGCTCCAAAGGCAGGACCACCAACCTACCCGCTGTCAGCGCACATTCGCGTGCACACACATGCACAGAGCCTGGCGGGTGGGCTCAGTTCATGCCACCAAATACTAAGTGTAAATCAAGTGTGTACTGTGTGCAGTGTAGTGTTCTCGGTAATGCTGCTGCTAACACATACATTTTAAAAGAGAGCATGTTTTAACGAAGATTGTACACCAAGGCAACAGGTGGTGTTCTGGGTTATTTCCAAAAATCCTTGTAGTCCACTCTCATTTGATTCACTGAAGCCCTGCTAATTTAGGAAGGACAAAAAGATTATGACACTCTTTGATAAGAAACTGATCATTAGAGAAATTAGTGACTTGTTAAGATTAAACCATACTGAAACTGGACTCCATGTCTAGTGCTGTCTAATCTGAGAAGGGATTGGGAGAGTAGAACAGGTGCCACAGAAAGGAGCAACACCTCCAGATGTGATGGTGCACATTTGGGAGGGTGAGGCAAGTGGGTCATAACTTGGGATAGCAAGACTCTATCTCAAACAAAACAAAACAAACAAAAAAACCCACTACCAACAAAAAAACAAAAAGGAAGAAAAGAAATGGAAAAAAAAAAAAAAAAGCAATACTGAAGATTTCTCCTTTGAGCCATCCAGACTAGCAGAGAGAATGACAACAGAGAGCATTTGTTGAGTGGTGGTGATAGGCCAGGCCCAGTCCTGTAGTGTCATTTAATCTTCACTACTGTTGTAGATTCGGTCATCATGTCCATTGATACACGAGGAAATGAAACAATGAGATAACCTACCCAGGATTACTCACAGCAGTGGTATTGTTGGGTTCCAAACTTAGATCTAAGTTATCCCAGGCTTCACTACTCGCTTGTGAGATGCATCAGGAATCCCATCAATGCAAGGGAGCTGCCAACCAAGGTGCTGCGGAGCTGTGGTCGCTCTACTTGTCTAGATGGTGGATTTCCTTGTTCCATTCAGGAGCCTTAGCTGAGGAGATTTGGGAACTGTGGCTCAGCCACCCTCTGCTGGTCAGTCCTCTTACCTACTGAACACAATGTCAGACACTGACTGACTGGAAGGTCACAGTCCAAAGCGGAAGTATTCCAGAAACAGGGCATCTTGGCACACTGTGATAAGAACTACACTGGAGGACATTAAGAGGACCTTCACGGTGCCACCTAAGCCAGCTATGTGGAAGTCTGGGAGTAGGTCACAGGTCAGCCTGATCCCCGGGAACACTGTGTGCCAGGACCTGTATGTGTAGTTCACAGCTGTATCCCCATCTAGTAGGCGCTTGGTAAATATCTTTCAGAACATTGACTAACTTGGCTGTGCCTTGGGCAAAAAGGGACAGTAACTGGCCTGTCTCTTTCACCAAAGTGCCTAGGAACAGGGGCTTGACTCCAAGGGCTGTTTCGTTGCCATGGGTAAATCCTGTAGCTAGTGGATTCTTCCTCACTGTCCAGCTGAGGAATGAGGAGGAAATGAAAAGGTGGGAGGGCATCTCTAGGCCCCAGCACAGCAGGGAAGAACATGAACTAGAATGTGGCTTTCCTGGGTGACTCTGGGCAAGTCACTTAACCTCTGTCCTCTTCAGTTTCCAAGTTTGCAAAGAGGAAAATGGTGTTCTCTCAGGACCAAATGAGATAAGCCATGTAAAAGGATTTAGCCCAGGCCAAGCACAAAGTCCTGTTCCATAATTGATAGCTGCCATCATTACCCTTGAAGCCGGTGGGCCCCAGCCCATCTGGCAGCAAGGAAAACAGTTAAGACCTTGGTGAGTAATCACTTGTGCCTACTTAGAATCGCTTAATCAGCCCCAGGGTGTGAAGGCGGCTCCTGAGGACGCTCCTCCTAAGGACGCACAGGGGGCGAGTTAAGCAGGGCTGGAGGGAGAGATTCAGAAAAGGTATCCTGGAGGTGGCGTCCTCCAGGAAAATGCAGGTGTCAGAAAGGGAGTCCCCCGATGAGGGCCTTGCAAGAGCGAGAGGCAGCAGAGCGTCCTTTTCAATAGCTGTGTGCTGGAGGGACAAATGGTGTCCTCCGAATGCTCGCCCCTCCCACTAGCCTGGCCCTCCGCTGTCCCGCCTCTCCCGCAGGTGCACAGCGTGGCGGTGACGCACACCTTCCAGATCGCCAAGGCCCGTGCTCAGCTTGGCTACGCGCCTGACAAGTTCAGCTTCGCGGACGCCGTGGAGCGATACGTGCAGTCCACGACTCCACAGCCGCGCGGGGCTCCGGCGCGGACGTTTCTGCGGTTGCTGCTCGGACTGCTGCTGCTCCTCTGCCTGCTGGGCCTGGCCCTGCACTTGCTAAGCCTGCGGCCTCTGCAGGCGGCCATGCAGCGGCTCTGACCGCCTGCCACCGCAGTGCCTGCCTGCCCAGCTCTACCCAGGCCCGGCTGGCAAACGCTCCTGGCACCCTGACCACACCCGCGCCGGCTCCTCCGGGCTTTCACTGGCCCTGCAGGTCGGGGCAAGTCTGGGTGTCCTGATCCCGCCCCCGGAAGGCTGCCGGTGTCCGTGTCTGGACTTTTGTACTCGACCAGCCCTCCGGGCTTGGGCACGCCTCCTCGCAGCCACCTAGGTCCTGGTCGTGCCCAAGCCCTCTGCGTCCTGGTCCCGCTTCTTGCTCCACCCCTTGACCCGGTCGAGTTTACTACTGACCAAGTCCCCAGACTCACAGCCTGCTTCGCCTGGGGGACTCTCGTACCTGCCTACTCCCGGCCCGGATTCTCCCCCGCTCTGGTTCCCCTCCCTTTTTGGCACCATGGATGGCTATTCTTGAGCCCATCTCTTCCGGGACTGGCCTTGCTCCTCCCCGTTGGCCCCACCCTCTGGCTGCTCCCCGCTCCAGCCCCGCCTCTTGGGTGGGTTTACCTGGAGCCTCGTGGCTGCGATGTTACTACATGGGTGGTGTTTGTGGAGTTTGCGTCCTCTGCTGCCGCTTCTTGGGTCAGTGACTCCTCACTGCCCGGGCTTCTCTGGGCTTGGCCTGAGATCGTTTAGGAATCTTGGGTTAGACCCATTTTAGTAGCGTTGCGTTTGAGCCGCCCGGATAATAATGTGGGTTTGTTCATTCACGCAGATCTCTGTGTGTTGATAGCCAGGGTTTGGAGGGACTCTGGAGACCCAGGCTTCGCCGCCCAACCTGGCCTTTTTGGGTTCCTGGGTTATGCGTGGTAAACCCAGGTTTCAGTACCAGAAAGAGCATGGGGGGGAAAAAAAACTTGCAAAGAATTGTCTCAAAAAAAAAAAAAAGTACCAATATAGTTATAATGGGAAAATAGAGTTCAGTTGGTCATACTTTATGCTTTCGTATTGTTTTTTATTTGTTGTTGATGAAGGGTAGTGGCGATCACCATCATCCTTTTTTTGAGTGGGGGCTCACACCTTGAGCCACTCCACCAGCCCTTTCTTGTAAAGGATTTTTCGAGATAGGGTCCCATGAACTATTTGCCCAGGCTGGCTTCGAACTGCGATCCTCCTGATCTCTGCCTCCTGAGTAGCTAGGATTACAGGCATGTACCACCACACCTGGCTAATCACCGTTATCTTTAAGGGTTAAAGTCACAGAACTTCTTAATCCAGACCTGCTCTCCACAGAAATGTCACCCCCTGTCATCTCGGTATGGACTGTGAGTAAATAGATCCGTGCATATGTATCATAATGTGCACACATGGAATTGGCTGAACCCCATGGATCCTGGCAGTGGAGAGGAAGGAATGTGTTAGTCAACCATGCTGGCCTTCCCAGGAAGTATCCCTCTGTGGTGAACAAGGAAAACAGTTTGTGAAGGAGCTAAAAAGAAAAGAAAAGAAAAACTGCTGCTTTCCTGTTGGGTGGAATTGCATGTGTGTATATAATTTTTAAAAGCTCAGTAATAATTGGGTTTTCATTTATATGATTTTATTTAATTCTTAGGCCCACCAGCACAGTGGGGGTTTATTAGATGAGGAAACTGAGCCTGTATCTAATTTCAAGAGCAGAGCGGGGTGGGGGTTACTGCTTTGTAGCTGGGGTAATTTAGAGAAGCTGCCCAAAGCCCACTGACCAAAGCATGACACATATTCTTTCTACTCCTTGCTCCCTGGCCATGGCTTGGGCTGGACTCGGATCTGCCTCATTCTCTCAGATCTGTAAATCTTGGGCCATTTGAAACTGTCATTTCTTGGATTCTCTTTGTTCTCAGTGACATGTTTATGTCTAAATTCATCTTTTTTTCTGAATTTCCTTTACCAATCCTCAGAAATCTTAGGGCAGGAAAACAGACTCACACTGTTCATATTACCTTCTAGAGCTTCCCTACTCAGCTTCATCTTTTGAAACCTAAAAGCCAAGAATCAACCTTTGTTGTTTTCTGTATTTCTCCACAGCATCTCTCCCGCAAGGCTCTGAAAGTAGAAGGACTGAACGCTGAGCATGGACCAGTGGCTCACACCTGTAATCCTAGCTATTTAGGAGGCTAAGATCGAGAGGATTGAGGTTTCAGGCCAGCTTGGTCAAATAGTTGTCATGACCCCTTCTCCAAAATAACCAGAGCAAAATAGACTGGAGGTGTGGTGCAGGTGGTAGAGGGCCTGCTTTGCAAATGCAACCAAAAAAAGTTCTGAGCATGGGGTAACAGGATCACTATTCCAAGAAAGCTTCCTCTCTTTAGCCAGTGGAAAGGGAGGTGGTACCTCCACCCAACAGACCAATTGAATCTCTGTGAGATATAGTGCCTCCATACGGCTGGAGGCACTAAAGGAAGCATCATGAATGCATAAAACAGAGTTGTCATAGTGGGGAGCCCAGGTGACACAACCAATCAAAATGGACCATCAAGACAAATTTACAGGTTTCACCGTTATGGGTACTGTAGATATCCCTAATTATAGACCCAATGCCAGGTGTCTAAAACATCCTCAAGCTTCTTGATCATCTTAAAAATACCTTCCCTAGGGCTGGAGATGTAGCTCAATGGTAGAATGCTTGCCTTGTGTGCATGAGACCCTGGATTTTCCCAGGGTTCCCCATTTCCTCTCCCACTACTGTTCCTACTACTCCCCCAATCTCAGAATAGAATTTTGTGATGAGTTGTCCATAGTTATGTTTCAATTTCTTCTCCTCAAGCCATTTCAATCAATATCATCAGTGACTTTGTCCATAACCATAAACCCAATGGATATTTTCCAGTCTTGATCTTGCCAGGCCTCTTAACAGAGTTGGCTAAAGGTTGGCTCCTCTTCCTTCTTGAATCTTTTTTTCTTGGTCTGTGACACCACACCTGTTTCTCTCACCTGTCCTTCTCTGACTTCTTTCCTGCCCTCCCTTTCAGGTTCTGTCCCTCAGGACTCTCTCTTAGCCCCTCTTCTTCAGATCTTTCCAGGTGAGTGCATCCATTCCCATTGCCTCTCAAATATGTGCTGTCTACTCAGAATGCTTTTTTTTTTTTTTTTTTCTTTTTTGGTGTGTTACTGGGGCCTGAACTCAGAGCCTACACCTTGAGCCACTCCACCAACCCTTTTTTTGTGATGAGTGTTTTCGAGATAGTCTCTCGAACTGTTTGCCCCAGCTGGCTTCCAACCTCCATCCTCCTGATCTCTGCCTCCTGAGTTGCTAGGATTACAGCTGTGAGCCACCTGTGCCCGGCCAGATGCTTTCTTGACATCCACAGTTCTGTGTCCAACCACATGCCCAGAAGCATCTCAAACCCAACATCAGTCAGACTGAACTCATCCTCTTACCCCAAAATTTGCTCATTGTCTGTCCTGTGTTACATCCCAGGGAGAGGAGAGGCACTGCCAGACTGAGTGCAATCCTTGGGCATCCCATTTGACAAATTCCTCTTCTTCACACCATCCCCATCAGTGTGTTCTGTCAGATCCACCTCCATTCAGTCTTACACCCTGCCACCACCATGGCACAAACCACTGTCCTTTCTACCAGACAACTGTAGTGGACTTCCACTGTCCTTTCCACCAGAACAGGATCCCAGGCCCCTGCTGAATTTACTAAATCCCAGATTAGAACATGTCACTCACCAGCTTAAAATGGTGAGTGGTTTCCCATTGCCCTCAGAATCAAGTTCAAAGTCATGGCCCCTTTGCCTACCTCTTGAACCTCGTCTCTTACCATCCATCCACTCTATGCCTCAGAATCACCAGGTTCTCACTTGTCTCTAGGGTTTCCCTTTTCTTGGAAATCCCCTCTCCCACCTTCACTTAGCTGCTGTCCAATTTCAGGGTCAGTTAAATGTTACTTCCTTGTTTCTCCTGGGCCAAGTTAGCATTCTGCACTGATAAACACCCCTCACAGATATAATTAGTGAAATTACAATATCTATAAATGCTATGGGTTTACATGACTACCTTGTTCGCTACATAGTAGGTCCTTTATAACAGTTGTTGAATGAATAAATAAGTGAGGGACCCCTACACCAAGCCCCACAGTCCAAGCAGGAAGTGAATCATTGAAGCTGGGATCTCAAGGTTGACATCCCTAAGTGGGGCCCCACCCCACCTACCCCACCCCTCTGCAGTCACCTTACACCTTTTCTTCAGGCAGATCCTCCAAAGGCCCTGGACCAGTAAAGTTCACTCCCTAACTCAGGGCATGATTACAGTCACCCTCCAGTTAACATTTGGCCTTGGGAGATTAAGACCCAGTCCCTTTGGCTTCAGGCCTGGAAGCTTTAACGACCCAGGCAGCTTGTTGGGAACTTTGCAGGGTATCCCAGATGTTCCCTGGAAAAAAGATCAGGTTTTTGTTGGTGTTTTTTTTTTTTTTTTGCTTTATTTTGTTTTAAAGCAATGAATTAGTGGGCGAGAGGTTTGTGTACTGGGCTAGAGAGTGAGAGCACTTGTGCTGAAAAGTTTCTTCCCTCTCTCTATCCCATTTAAAAAAGAAAGAAAAAAAGAAAAAGTGAGCGTCAGGAGACATGGAAAAAAGAACACCGGGTTTTGGCAGCGGTGGGATTCGAACCCACGCCATCGAAATGACTGGAGCCTAAATCCAGCGCCTTAGACCACTCGGCCACGCTACCTCCGGTTCGCATGGCCATCCACTCAGCTAGTGTTAGGGTGATGACGCATTCGCCTCCCTCTGCAAGTTCTGCCCACTCCTGGAGGTTTGCGCATGCCCAATGAGAAACCAATGTTTCCGCCGGTCGCCCACTGTTGGCCGCTGGCTTCCAAGGAGTGTTTAGAATTACAATGGCGTTGTGGCCAAGAGCATTAAGTACAGTAGAAATGTATCATTTGAAAGGAAAAAATACCCCCTAACTGTTAAATACTAATATTCAGTCTTCTCGGGTGTCAAATTTGAGTTTTGCATTTTCACGGACGTGACGTTCCCTGCGACCACAAGGGGG